ACATCACAAATCACGACAGACTGTTACATATATCTACTGACATCACAAATCACGACAGACTGTTACATATATCTACTGACATCACAAATCATGACAGACTGTTACATATATCTACTGACATCACAAATCATGACAGACTGTTACATATATCTACTGACATCACAAATCACGACAGACTGTTACATATATCTACTGACACCACAAATCACGACAGACTGTTACATATATCTACTGACATCACAAATCATGACAGACATCACAAATCACGACAGACTGTTACATATATCTACAGACATCACAAATCACGACAGACTATTACATATATCTACTGACACCACAAATCATGACAGACATCACAAATCACGACAGACTGTTACATATATCTACTGACACCATAAATCACGATAGACTGTTACATATATCTACTGACATCATAAATCACGACCGACTGTTACATATATCTACTGACATCACAAATCATGACAGACACCACAAATCATGACAGACTGTTAAATATATCTACTGACACCACAAATCACGACGGACTGTTACATAGATCTACTGACACCATAAATCATGACAGACTGTTACATATATCTACAGACATCAAAAATCATGACAGACTGTTACATATATCTACTGACACCACAAATCACGACAGACTGTTACATATATCTACTGACACCACAAATCACGACGTACTGTTACATAGATCTACTGACATCACAAATCATGACAGACTGTTACATCTATCTACTGACACCACAAATCATGACAGACTGTTACATATATCTACAGACATCACAAATCACGACAGACTGTTACATATATCTACTGACATCACAAATCATGACAGACTGTTACATATATCTACAGACATCACAAATCACGACAGACTGTTACATATATCTACTGACATCACAAATCATGACAGACTGTTACATATATCTACTGACATCACAAATCACGACAGACTGTTACATATATCTACTGACATCACAAATCATGACAGACTGTTACATATATCTACTGACATCACAAATCATGACAGACTGTTACATATATCTACAGACATCACAAATCACGACAGACTGTTACATATATCTACTGACATCACAAATCACGACAGACTGTTACATATATCTACTGACATCACAAATCACGACAGACTGTTACATATATCTACTGACACCACAAATCACAACAGACTGTTACATATATCTACTGACATCACAAATCATGACAGACTGTTACATATATCTACAGACATCAAAAATCATGACAGACATCACAAATCATGACAGACTGTTACATATATCTACTGACATCACAAATCATGACAGACTGTTCAATATATCTACTGACATCAAAAATCATGACAGACTGTTACATATATCTACTGACATCAAAAATCATGACAGACACCACAAATCATGACAGACTGTTACATATATCTACTGACATCACAAATCATGACAGACTGTTCAATATATCTACTGACATCAAAAATCATGACAGACTGTTACATATATCTACTGACACCACAAATCATGACAGACTGTTACATATATCTACTGACATCACAAATCATGACAGACTGTTACATATATCTACTGACATCACAAATCATGACAGACTGTTACATATATCTACTGACATCACAAATCATGACAGACTGTTACATATATCTACTGACATCACAAATCACGACAGACTGTTACATATATCTACTGACATCACAAATCATGACAGACTGTTACATATATCTACTGACATCACAAATCATGACAGACTGTTACATATATCTACTGACATCACAAATCACGACAGACTGTTACATATATCTACTGACACCACAAATCACGACGTACTGTTACATAGATCTACTGACATCACAAATCATGACAGACTGTTACATCTATCTACTGACACCACAAATCACGACAGACTGTTACATATATCTACTGACATCACAAATCACGACAGACTGTTACATAGATCTACTGACATCACAAATCATGACAGACTGTTACATATATCTACTGACATCACAAATCACGACGTACTGTTACATAGATCTACTGACATCACAAATTACAGATATATCTCTGACACCACAAATCACGACAGACTGTTACATACGACAGACTGTTACATATATCTGACATCACAAATCATGACAGACTGTTACATCTATCACGACGTACTGTTACTGACTGACATCACAAATCACGACAGACTGTTACATATATCTACTGACATCACAAATCACGACAGACTGTTACATAGATCTACTGACATCACAAATCATGACAGACTGTTACATCTATCTACTGACACCACAAATCATGACAGACTGTTACATATATCTACTGACACCATAAATCACGACAGACTGTTACATATATCTACTGACACCATAAATCACGACAGACTGTTACATATATCTACTGACACCATAAATCACGACAGACTGTTACATACATCATGACTTTTGGTACTTGCAGTACTTATTGTGAGATTTTGGAATGTTGTTTGGGCCTTAAGTTGTAATATTTCTTTACATTTTTCATGAAATTATAAATGAGGTTGAAACCAAAATTCAACAATCAGGATTTTAAACCAATTTAATTGTAATATGGTATAACAAATCTAGGTAGATTTGGATATAGGACAGCAAAGGATTACACATATCTGTTAAATTAATTGTTAAAAATGTTTTGTCATCAGAATCACAAATTAAAGTATTCTCGGCTATGTTAGGTTGAATGTCAATTATTTGAACTTGACTCTGGAAATATTCAGTTACTCAACGCTCAATCCCTTCTCAAAATAAATGGTTTAATTTAATACTGTCCTGTATACTTATATTGTAGTTTTAGTTCTGAAGAAAGATTTTACTGAATGTCTTATGAAAATTTAATAATCTGTGTCAAATCCTTATTAGGAATGTAAATTGTTGCTACACTAGATTCTTATCCTGTGTAATTATAGATGTTGTGGAGCAACTTGCTCTTGGTTTGATCCTAGTACAATTTTGAGATGTAACATTTTGATAATGAGAAGAAATTATGTATGAAAGAAATTGAAGGAACTTCAGTGACTGGTCTGATCAATACTGTTAAAAAATGTGGATTTGAAAAATGAATTACAGAGACTGGATTACAAATATTTTCACCATAAATTGAATTACAGATCCTTCTAGCACTACCCGGCTGGTAGGGCATCATAATTGCACCTGTTTCTCCCATTACAGATCCTTGTAGCACTACCTGGCTGGTAGGGCATCATAATTGCACCTGTTTCTCCCATCACAGATCCTTGTAGCACTACCCGGCTGGTAGGGCATCATATTTGCACCTGTTTTTCCCATCACAGATCCTTGTAGCACTACCCGGCTGGTAGGGCGTCATAATTGCACCTGTTTCTCCCATCACAGATCCTTGTAGCACTACCCGGCTGGTAGGTCGTCATAATTGCACCTGTTTCTCCCATCACAGATCCTTGTAGCACTACCTGTCTGGTAGGACGTCATAATTGCACCTGTTTCTCCCATCACAGATCCTTGTAGCACTACCTGTCTGGTAGGGCGTCATAATTGCACCTGTTTCTCCCATCACAGATCCTTGTAGCACTACCCGGCTGGTAGGGCGTCATAATTGCACCTGTTTCTCCCATCACACATCCTTGTAGCACAACCCGGCTGGTAGGGCGTCATAATTGCACCTGTTTCTCCCATCACACATCCTTGTAGCACTACCCGGCTGGTAGGGCGTCATAATTGCACCTGTTTCTCCCATCACAGATCCTTGTAGCACTACCCGGCTGGTAGGGCGTCATAATTGCACCTGTTTCTCCCATCACAGATCCTTGTAGCACTACCCGGCTGGTAGGGCGTCATAATTGCACCTGTTTCTCCCATCACACATCCTTGTAGCACTACCCGGCTGGTAGGGCGTCATAATTGCACCTGTTTCTCCCATCACACATCCTTGTAGCACTACCCGGCTGGTAGGGCGTCATAATTGCACCTGTTTCTCCCATCACAGATCCTTGTAGCACTACCCGGCTGGTAGGGCGTCATAATTGCACCTGTTTCTCCCATCACAGATCCTTGTAGCACTACCAGGCTGGTAGGGCGTCATAATTGCACCTGTTTCTCCCATTACAGATCCTTGTAGCACTACCCGGCTGGTAGGGCGTCATAATTGCACCTGTTTCTCCCATTACAGATCCTTGTAGCACTACCCGGCTGGTAGGGCGTCAGAATTGCATCTGTTTCTCCAATTACATAATTGTAAGAGACAACTAAACTTTGGATCATTATTTTTTTCTTTCTTTTCCAAAGATCTTTCACTTTTTCTAATGTCTTCCTAGGCAATGTCTCACATTTGACCTTTGACCTTTAGTTGAGCATTCACCCATGTGAGAAAGGTTTTGGGTTCCATTCCTTGGCTAGGACATACCATCATATTTTAAAATGGTAGTTACTACTTTCTGTTAAAATTTTAGCATTGTGGTAGTAACTGCTAGTTCAACTGCTGTCAGTAGTGATGTTGTGATATGGTGGGCAGTCCTGCTGAGTGACTTCAGTGCGGTAGCACGTTGAAGTTGTTGGCTCCAGTAACACACTATCAGAAGGAGGTGTACACAAACATATAATACCAATCCCCACCACCCCACCCCCACATGCACACATGCAACACATGCACTTTCCTTACATACATCAGGAGAAGACCTTAAATGGCCTTAGCTGTTGATAGAAAGCTAAACAATATAAAAGTGTTCAGACGGTTTTCTTGATATTTTTAGAGATTCCCTATAAATTCAGTTATCTTTTAGTACTGGAATTATACATTGTAAAGATTTGTTGTTACGGAGATAATGTAAAGATTTGTCTTCACTGTGATCATGTAAAGATTTGTTGTTACGGAGATAATGTAAAGATTTGTCGTCACTGTGATCATGTAAAGATTTGTTGTTACGGTGATCATGTAAAGATTTGTCATCACTGTGATCATGTAAAGATTTGTTGTTACGGTGATCATGGTGATCATGTAAAGATCTGTTGTTACGGTGATCATGTAAAGATCTGTTGTTATGGTGGAAATGTAAAGATATGTTGTTACGGTGATCATGTAAAGATCTGTTGTTACGGTGGAAATGTAAAGATCTGTTGTTATGGTGATCATGTAAAGATCTGTTGTTATGGTGGAAATGTAAAGATTTGTTGTTACGGTGATCATGAAAAGATCTGTTGTTACGGTGGAAATGTAAAGATCTGTTGTTACGGTGATCATGTAAAGATTTGTTGTTACGGTGATCATGTAAAGATTTGTCGTCACTGTGATCATGTAAAGATTTGTTGTTATGGTGATCATGTAAAGATCTGTTGTTGCTGTGATCATGTAAAGATTTGTTGTCACTGTGATCATGTAAAGATTTGTTACGTTGATCATGTAAATATCTGTTGTTACGGTGATCATGTAAAGATTTGTTGTTACGGTGATCATGTAAAGATTTGTTGTTACGGTGGAAATGTAAAGATCTGTTGTTATGGTAATCATGTAAAAATTTGTTGTTACGGTGATCATGTAAAGATTTGTTGTTACGGTGGAAATGTAAAGGTTTGTTGTTACGGTGATCATGAAAAGATTTGTTGTCACTGTGATCATGTAAAGATCTGTTGTTACGGTGGAAATGTAAAGATTTGTTGTCACTGTGATCATGTAAAGATTTGTTGTTACGTTGATCATGTAAATATCTGTTGTTACGGTGATCATGTAAAGATTTGTTGTTACGGTGATCATGTAAAGATTTGTTACGATGGAAATGTAAAGATCTGTTGTTATGGTGATCATGTAAAGATCTGTTGTTATGGTGATCATGTAAAGATTTGTTGTTACAGTGATCATGTAAAGATTTGTTGTTACGGTGATCATGCAAAGATTTGTTGTCACTGTGATCATGACAAGATTTGTTGTTATGGTGATCATGTAAAGATTTGTTGTTACGGTGATCATGTAAAGATTTGTTGTTACGGTGGAAATGTAAAGATTTGTTGTTACGGTGATCATGTAAAGATTTGTTGTTACGGTGGAAATGTAAAGGTTTGTTGTTACGGTGATCATGAAAAGATTTGTTGTCACTGTGATCATGTAAAGATCTGTTGTTACGGTGGAAATGTAAAGATTTGTTGTCACTGTGATCATGTAAAGATTTGTTGTTACGTTGATCATGTAAATATCTGTTACGGTGATCATGTAAAGATTTGTTGTTACGGTGATCATGCAAAGATTTGTTGTCACTGTGATCATGTAAAGATTTGTTGTTACGGTGATCATGTAAAGATTTGTTGTCACTGTGATCATGTAAAGATTTGTTGTTATGGTGATCTTGTAAAGATTTGTTGTTACGGTGATCATGGAAAGATTTGTCGTCACTGTGATCAGTCTCTAGATGACAAATGAAACCCACACATTATATAGTATCATCCTGTTTACAGAATGTAAAGTGTGGAGGAATCCATTAAATCTATTCCGTGGTTCGGAATATCAGCGATACACATGGGCCAAGGGAAAGGACCCGCTCACGTATTATGATATGAATCTATCGGCCCAGGATCATCAAACTTTCTTCACCTGTGAGGCAGATGCTGGCAAACCAGAGTACGAAGGTGAGATTTAACCATTTTATGTTTTTAGTGGATCTTTTAATTAGTGGAAGGATACAATAAAAGAAAGTGTACAAACAGATTAAAATATGTGTTTGTTGTAAATCCAGAGTGAAGATTTTGTAAACAACTTTTTAAGGCATACCACAGCATCCCTCCATCAACTTTTTAAGTCGCCTGAGCCAAAGGATTTGTCTGTCGTCGTGCACTTTTCACATATTTGACTTCTTCTCAAGAACCACCGAATGTATTTTGACCAAACTTGGCACAAAGCATCCCCATGGGAAGCCGCTTCAAGTTTGCGAAGAAAAAGGACATGGCACCAATAGGGGCCCCAGGTGGGGGGAAAAGGGTGTAAAATTAGGAAAAAACTTTAAAAATCTTCTTCTCATGAACCAAAAGTCAGATTAAGTTCCTATTTGATATTTAGGGTCCTTATGGCATGGTCTACAAATTTTGCGAATGAAAAAAAATCGGGTCAAAAATGGCCCCACTAGGGGGTGCTCAAAAGGGTCAAAAATTCAACTTTGACTGATTTCAACCAAATTTGATAGAAAGCATCCCTTAGTGAAGGACATATGAAATTATGTTGAAAAAAGTGATTATGTTCCCTTTGGGGCCCATAAGGGTTGTCAAAGGGGCCATATGTAAAAACCTTCTTTAAATGACTTCTTCTCAAGAACCATTGGATGGATTTTAACCAAACTTGGCACAAAGCATCCCCATGGGAAGCCGCCTCAAGTTTGCGAAGAAAAAGGGCATGGCCCCAATAGGGGCTCCAGGAGGGGGGAAAAAGGGAAACTTGATATGAATGTTTGACACAAGGTCCTGGCAAGTGTTTTAACTTTTTGGGAAGATTCAAAATCCAAGATGGCCATCCTGGCCTCTGTTTGGCTAAGACATTATGGACATATGAAATTATGTTGAAAAAAGTGATTATGTTTCCTTTGGGGCCCATAAGGGTTGTCAAAGGGGCCATATGTAAAAACCTTCTTTAAATGACTTCCTCTCAAGAACCATTGGGTGGATCATGTTCAAACATGGTACAGATGTTTTACACATGGTCCTGCACAAGTGTTGTTACATTTTTGCAACATTTTAAATTCCCCAGATTATTGACATATATTCCTCAGGTGACCGTTAAGGCCCCTTGGGCCTCTTGTGTTTAACTATTTTTTCATTTCTTGTCAATAAGTTAAAATTAAGATGGTAATCATATATTTTTTTGGGGTTCTAGTGATGCAGAGAGCGTGGCGAGAAAGGAACCCTCAGTCGAGGATAAAGGCTGCTAAAGACGCAGCAGAAAAAAATCCAGAGTAAGTATAATGATATACTACATAGTTTTGAGGAAACCATGGGAGTGGGGAGGTATAATGATATACCACAGAGTCCTCAGGAAACCATGGGAGTGGGAAGGTATAATGATATACCACATAGTCCTCAGGAAACCATGGGAGTAGGGAGGTATAATGATATACCACAGAGTCCTCAGGAAACCATGGGAGTAGGGAGGTATAATGATATACCACAGAGTCCTCAGGAAACCATGGGAGTGGGAAGGTATAATGATATACCACAGAGTCCTCAGGAAACCATGGGAGTGGGGAGGTATAATGATATACCAGAGAGTCCTCAGGAAACCATGGGAGTGGGAAGGTATAATGATATAGCACATAGTCCTCAGGAAACCATGGGAGTGGGGAGGTATAATGATATAGCACAGAGTCCTCAGGAAACCGTGGGAGTGGGGAGGTATAATGATATACCACAGAGTCCTCAGGAAACCATGGGAGTGGGGAGGTATAATGATATACCACAGAGTCCTCAGGAAACCATGGGAGTGGGGAGGTATAATGATATACCACAGAGTCCTCAGGAAACCATGGGAGTGGGGAGGTATAATGATATACCAGAGAGTCCTTAGGAAACCATGGTAGTGGGGAGGTATAATGATATACCAGAGAGTCCTCAGGAACCATGGGAGTGGGGAGGTATAATGATATACCACATAGTCCTCAGGAAACCATGGGAGTGGGGAGGTATAATGATATACCACAGAGTCCTCAGGAAACCATGGGAGTGGGGAGGTATAATGATATACCAGAGAGTCCTCAGGAAACCATGGGAGTAGGGAGGTATAATGATATACCACAGAGTCCTCAGGAAACCATGGGAGTGGGGAGGTATAATGATATACCACATAGTCCTCAGGAAACCATGGGAGTGGGGAGGTATAATGATATACCAGAGAGTCCTCAGGAAACCATGGGAGTGGGGAGGTATAATGATATACCACATAGTCCTCAGGAAACCATGGGAGTGGGGAGGTATAATGATATACCAGAGAGTCCTCAGGAACCATGGGAGTGGGGAGGTATAATGATATAGCACAGAGTCCTCAGAAACCATGGGAGTAGGGAGGTATAATGATATACCAGAGAGTCCTCAGGAACCATGGGAGTGGGGAGGTATAATGATATACCACATAGTCCTCAGGAAACCATGGGAGTGGGGAGGTATAATGATATACCACAGAGTCCTCAGGAAACCATGGGAGTGGGGAGGTATAATGATATACCACAGAGTCCTCAGGAAACCATGGGAGTGGGGAGGTATAATGATATACCAGAGAGTCCTCAGGAAACCATGGGAGTAGGGAGGTATAATGATATACCACAGAGTCCTCAGGAAACCATGGTAGTGGCTAGGTCTTAACCCATAGAGTGGGGAGCTGGAGGGATGGGTTGTCTATCAAGTGTTAAAGTGGAGTTAATATCACACATCTCTGGACTTTTTCCTCTGTGTTAGGGGCTGGAAGGATGAATAGGTTTATTTCTTCAGAGTGGGGAACTAAAGGGGTGGGTCGTTTACTAAACTGGAGTTGATATCACACATCTCTCAGACATCTTCTTCAGAATGAGGAGCTGGAGGGGTTGAATCATTTACCAAGGGTCAAGCTAAGGTGATCTTTTATTAGGTCATCTGACCCGAATGATATACCACAGAGTCCTCAATAAGCAAAAGTCCAAGAGTGCTGATAATGGACTTGTAGGATGCTGGGATGACATGCTACTAAATTTGTTCAAATGAATGACCTTGACCCACTTTCAAGGTCACAGGGGTTAAATATGTTAAAATATGCAAATGACTTCTCAAAAACCAAAATGATTAGAGTGCTGATATTGGGCCTGTAGGATGCTTTGAGGAAGTGTTACCAAATGTGTTCAAGTGAATGACCTTGACCCACTTTCAAGATCACAGGGTTCAAATATGTTAAAATCTGTAAACGACTTCTTCTTAGTAACCAAAAGGCTCAGAGTGCTGATATTGGGCCTGTAGGATGCTGGGAGGAAGGGCTACCAAGTTTATTCAAATTAATAAAGCCCACTGTTTTAACGGCAGACTTACTGTTGTTAAGAGTTTGGCTTGCTTTTTGTCAGATGACCATTAAGGCCCATGGGCCTCTTGTTTTGGTTTTGAACCTGTAACTATCGTTCACAATTCTAAGTGATCTTTGTTTTGTTATTTCAGTTGTCCAACAGCAATTATACTCCTGGCTGAAGAAGATACTAGCACCATAGCAGACGTAAGCTTTCATCTTCTAACTTGTTTGTATAGAGATACACTGTTGTAGTTTGTATCACTAGTCTGCCAAACTCCTGTAATTAATTCTTAATTAACATTACAACAACTTGAAAAAATTTGCAATGCTTGTTAAGATGAATTTAGTTTCCAAAAAGCTAACGTTAGTTTGAATGAAAATGTATCGTCATCTGTTTCCAGTTAATTGCTTAAATGATTACTGATCACTCATCTGTAATTAAAAGCATGTACATAGACTTTTTTATGATACTTGTTAAAACCCTCTCTACTTTTGCTTCCTATACCTTCTACATGGCTCCAGTTTTCATTTACACTCTCTTGTTATTACTGAATTACCTACCTATATTGAATCAGCTATATGGTTTGAATTTTCAAAGTTTTGAAAATTCCAAGATATTAGATAAATTACCAGTTTGTTAAATGTTTGTATTACAGACAAATTCAGGTCTGTTATATGTCATACATATCTAGTCTACATCTTACCAGTTTGTATTACAGACAAACTCAGGTCTGTTATATGTCATACATATCTAGTTTACATCTCACCAGTTTGTATTACAGACAAATTCAGGTCTGTTATATGTCACACATATCTAGTCTACATCTTACCAGTTTGTATTACAGACAAACTCAGGTCTGTTATATGTCATACATATCTAGTTTACATCTCACCAGTTTGTATTACAGACAAACTCAGGTCTGTTATATGTCATACATATCTAGTTTACATCTCACCAGTTTGTATTACAGACAAACTCAGGTCTGTTATATGTCATACATATCTAGTTTACATCTCACCAGTTTGTATTACAGACAAATTCAGGTCTGTTATATGTCATACATACCGTATTTATTCCAATAAACACCTCGGGGGCGTGAAATTTTTCAGACTGGGGGCGATTAATAGAACACAAAATTTCATAATTTGTTGGTTGTGACATACCATGGCTGCCACTTAAAAACATTGTTTAACAAACTAACAAATTACTCAGCAAAGAATGCATTTGAAAATTGCAGTAATTCCAACATCGTTGTAGCTTTAAACATTGTTGTCAATTGCATTCTGATAACATGAATTCTTGTATGAAATGACACAATGTCAATTATGTCAGCTTCAGTCAAAAACGTACAATGTTCATCATTGCTTGTAGGCCTAGTTTGCATAACAAAATAAAAAACACAGGGGTCTATAAGCCAGTCTGTTTCTTAATAAATCCCACATACCTGATAACAATGTCTGGGACAAAACAAAATTACGAGACTGCTTTCTAGCTTAAAGTAATCGCCTTCGCAGAGGAGAAGGGTAAACATGCTGCCACGAAAGTGTTTCGTGTTGACAGAAAACGAGTGCGAGACTGGTGTCAAAATGACGAAAAATTAAAAAATCTTTCTAAAACATCTAAACGCTGTAAAGGAGGTGGGAGGCATGTCAGATATGAAGATATTGACAAAAATCTGATGAGATAGCTACAGGACAGACAGGAGGCTGGAATACGAGTGACTGGGAAAGCATTGCAGTTTGAGGACCTGCGTATGCATAAGGAAAATGGTAGTCAATCGTTCAAAGCCTCATATGGATGGTTTTCTAAATTCAAAAAGAGACATAACATTTCGTTCAGGCGATCTACGCATGTGGCACAACATGAAGTTTCATTAATTGATGGTCATATTGATAGTTTTTTTAATTTCGTGTTAAGAATGCGTCGGCTACGTTCAGGCGATCTACGCATGTGGCACAACATGAAGTTTCATTAATTGATGGTCATATTGACAGTTTTTTTAATTTCGTGTTAAGAATGCGTCGGCTACGAGAATACCCGGATAGCCATATCGCTAACATGGACGAAACCCCGGTGTGGTTTGACATGCCAGGAAAATCGACATTGGCAATAAAGGGGGAAAAGGAGGTCAGAGTTTACAGTACTGGTCACGGAAAACAAAAAATAACGGTGACACTGGCAGCATATGCCGATGGGACTAAAATTGCCGCCCTTGTGCACATGCCAGGCATTGGTCCCCTTCCGAAAGATGACATACCAAGTGGTATTGTGGTATACATGTACGGGGCCGGACAAAAAATCCTGGGCAAAAGAGGAAAGTATAAAATTTTGGTTAAAAAAACTCTGGGGTGTGAATAATACAGCTAGGCGATTATTAGTATGGGACGCTTTCCGTGGTCATCTTACTGAAGATGTAAAAAAACTGGTTCGTCAAAAATCTAATTCAGACATCTGTGTTATACCCAGAGGATGTACATGTATGCTACAGCCAGCCGATGTGTTGTGGAATAAACCCTTCAAACAAAAACTTGGAGAGTTGTATGACGAATGGTGTTTCAGTGGCCCCATTGAGAAAACCAAAGCAGGGAATCATAAAGCCCCATCTAAAGCTGTAATGTTGTCTTGGGACAAGACAGCATGGGATAGCATTAGCCCGGACACAATCAGAAGATCGTTCAAAAAATGCGGTATCACAAATTCGCTGGACGGTAGCGAGGATCATATTTTCAAGCATGATTCTGACGATGAGGAATTCCAGGGGTTTAGTGAAAAGGATGTCCAAGCTGCAGATGACATTTGGCAAAATTTAATGGGTGATGTGAACGCGCCTTCTATTCCACACATAGAACTGAGTGAAAGCGAGACTGGCGAAAGTGAAAGTGAAGACAGTAGTTCGTACGGCAGTCCCGGCCGTTAGGCCTGCAGTATATTGAAATGAACCGTGGATTAAATTGATATTACTTGTGTACATGTCGTGACAGTGTAATTTTCTTGTGCCAAAATTCATTTGTTCATGTCCATGGATACCAGGAATTTAAAATTTATTAAAAGGTAAGCTTTGTAACCTGACTCCTGAGTTGTTGAAATTTACTGAGGAAACAGGTGGGGGGGCGTTTATTAGAGATGGGGCGTTTATTGGAATAAATACGGTATCTAGTTTACATCTCACCAGTTTGTTACATGTTTGTATTACAGACAAACTCAGGTCTGTTATATGTCATACATATCGAGTTTACATCTCACCAGTTTGTATTACAGACAAATTCAGGTCTGTTATATGTCATACATATCTAGTTTACATCTCACCAGTTTGTTACATGTTTGTTTTTCAGGCAGAAAAAATGTTTAAACAAGCGTATAAAGCTGCAGAAGTGAATTATAGAAAATCTCAACAAACACAACATCAGAGCTCACAACACGAGTCCACACATCGTAAGTTATTTTTTTATTTCAAAATTTCATTCAGATATTTTAAAATTCAATATAAAATTCAGTAGTACTGTATATTGCTCTTACAGACAGTTTAAACCCTGTTACCCTTTTGGTACATCTCCACTCTCTTCTCTGTCCTTTCTCTTGTAGCATAAGAAAATAAAGACAAAGATTAATTCACCAGCTCTGTAACAGTCAGTTACTGCAGGTATCCAAGGGTCTCAAGCTTACTGTTACCATGGGTGTAACAGTCGGTGTCCCAGTGTTACAGCAGGTATCCAAGGGTCTCAAACTTACTGTTACCATGGGTGTAACAGTCGGTGTCCCAGTGTTACAGCAGGTATACAAGGGTCTCAAACTTACTGTTACCATAGGTGTAACAGTCGGTTTCCCACTGTTACAGCAGGTATCCAAGGGTCTCAAACTTACTGTTACCATGGTTGTAACAGTCGGTGTCCCAGTGTTACAGCAGGTATACAAGGGTCTCAAACTTACTGTTACCATGGGTGTAACAGTCGGTTTCCCACTGTTACAGCAGGTATCCAAGGGTCTCAAACTTACTGTTACCATGTGTTTATCCCACCTCAGCCCATGTATGATAGACATGTCCCATGTGGAACACCCATGGAGGATAAATCTATCCCACATGACTGCACTCGGTGACCTCAGTCGGCTATCACAACTGACTCAAACCGACGAGTGGATGCTTTGTTTGCAGGTTCCGTAATGCTCGACTGTAACACCACAGTTAACATTAACTATATCAATCCTTGTCCAGTGAACACAAATAAACGTCGGAGGATCATCTATGACTCTGATTCTGAATGAACACACGCGTGACACTCGCACCATTGCAATTTTTCGCGCGCATAAACAATTGATGTCATTATAAACTGGGAAATCCCCTTTTTGTCCATGACATCGCGGCAAGCCTACCCTCACAGAGTTAAATGTTGTTCAATACAAGTATTTCCATGTATCTATCTCTAATTAAAATATTTAATTTCCACAAAATTAATATTTCTAATGGTTATTCATATTGCGTTTGTAGTCTGTCATTTTTGCTCTCGAGGAAGAATGTAGAATTTTGGAAACGTGAATGGTGATATTCATGCGCCATTCAGACGCTTGTACCGTGGGATTTTTTTTTTATGTCGTGGCAGAAATAATGGGGTGGGAGAAAAATAATCAACCCCTACCCTCAGAGGATGTGACAGAGAAATCTCCAACCCTCGGGGTGATTTTTTTGTAGTCGGCAGAGCCTCGGGTTAGACAACAACAAAAATCACCCCTCGGGTTGGAGATTTCTCTATCACACCCTCAGGGTAGGGGAAGATTCTATTAGTAACAGTCGGTGTCCCAGTGTTACAGCAGGTATCCAAGGGTCTCAAACTTACTGTTACCATGGTTGTAACAGTCGGTGTCCCAGTGTTACAGCAGGTATACAAGGGTCTCAAACTTACTGTTACCATGGGTGTAACAGTCGGTGTCCCAGTGTTACAGCAGGTATACAAGGGTCTCAAACTTACTGTTACCATGGGTGTAACAGTCGGTGTCCCAGTGTTACAGCAGGTATCCAAGGGTCTCAAACTTACTGTTACCATGGGTGTAACAGTCGGTGTCCCAGTGTTACAGCAGGTATACAAGGGTCTCAAACTTACTGTTACCATGGGTGTAACAGTCGGTGTCCCAGTGTTACAGCAGGTATCCAAGGGTCTCAAACTTACTGTTACCATGGGTGTAACAGTCGGTGTCCCAGTGTTACAGCAGGTATCCAAGGGTCTCAAACTTACTGTTACCATGGGTGTAACAGTCGGTGTCCCAGTGTTACAGCAGGTATCCAAGGGTCTCAAACTTACTGTTACCATGGGTGTAACAGTCGGTGTCCCAGTGTTACAGCAGGTATACAAGGGTCTCAAACTTACTGTTACCATAGGTGTAACAGTCGGTGTCCCAGTGTTACAGCAGGTATCCAAGGGTCTCAAACTTACTGTTACCATGGGTGTAACAGTCGGTGTACCAGTGTTACAGCAGGTATCCAAGGGTCTCAAACTTACTGTTACCATGGGTATTACTGGTGGTACTGTCAGTCACACAAATGTGATTACTGTGGAATATCACAAGATGATTGATTACATTAATAAAAAGAACAATGCCAGCAATATATCACACTATATCACAACTGTGAAAAGTTAGAGATGTTGAGATTATTTGTCAATGATGATCAATGTTTAATTCATTTCTTTTATTCTGTTTATAAACAATTTCATGGTCTGCTGCTTATAGTGTTATCTTTATCTGTCATTCCATCACCATGTGTCTGCTCTTTAATGGATGCCACCATGAAAGTTGGTATATGGTTTATACAATGATAATATGCAGGTCAGCTTCAGATTTGGTTACGGACTAATAACTTTTTAGCTAAATTTTCACATTAGCCTTATCAAACTCAAGTGGGTTATATGATAATGTAGTGGGTGTATTATTACATATTCAACAAAGAAAATAATGCAGGCAGGATTTCTGTTTTATTTTGTAGTGGGTGTATTATTACATTATTACACTGACAGCTAGGTAGTTATATGATAATGTAGTGGGTGTATTATTACATTATTACACTGACAGCTGGGTAGTTATATGATAATGTAGTGGGTGTAATATTACACTGACAGCTGGGTAGTTATATGATAATGTAGTGGGTGTAATATTACACTGACAGCTAGGTAGTTATATGATAATGTAGTGGGTGTATTATTACATTATTACACTGACAGCTGGGTAGTTATATGATAATGTAGTGGGTGTATTATTACACTAACAGCTGGATAGTTATATGATAATGTAGTGGGTGTAATATTACACTGACAGCTAGGTAGTTATATGATAATGTAGTGGGTGTAATATTACACTGACAGCTGGATAGTTATATGATAATGTAGTGGGTGTAATATTACACTGACAGCTGGGTAGTTATATGATAATGTAGTGGGTGTATTATTACACTAGTTATATGATAATGTAGTGGGTGTATTATTACACTGACAGCTGGATAGTTATATGATAATGTAGTGGGTGTATTATTACATTATTACACTGACAGCTAGGTAGTTATATGATAATGTAGTGGGTGTATTATTACATTATTACACTGACAGCTGGGTAGTTATATGATAATGTAGTGGGTGTATTATTACATTATTACACTGACAGCTAGGTAGTTATTATATGATAATTACACTGACAGCTGGGATATTTTTGACATTGGTTATGCCGGGATATAATGTAGTGGGTGTATATTAACAGCGGAGTTACTAGCTATGTGTGCTAGAAAGCTGGGTCGAACAAGAGAGGCAGTTATGCGAGAGGTAGGCTATGATGTTATTCAACAGCTGGGTAGTTATATGATAATGTATGATATTTTGTCAGCGTCCATATGGCATCTCACAAAAACTTCATTGGTATTACACTGTACAGCTAACTAGTTATATGATAATGTAGTGAGTTATTATTACATTATTACACTGACAGCTGGGTAGTTATATGATAATGTAGTGGGTGTAGACATTATTAACATTAGGGTTTGTTATCTCTCACTGACAGCTAGGTAGTTATATGATAATGTAGTGGGTACATTATTACACTGACAGCTGGGTAGTTATTAATTAGTGGGTGTATTATTACACTGACAGCTGGGTAGTTATATGATAATGTAGTGGGTGTAATATTACACTGAAAGCGTGTTAGATATATGATAATGTAGTGGGTGTATTATTACATTATTACACTGACAGCTGGGTAGTTATATGATAATGTAGTGGGTGTATTATTACATTATTACACTGACAGCTGGGTAGTTATATGATAATGTAGTGGGTGTATTATTACACTGACAGCTGGGTAGTTATATGATAATGTAGTGGGTGTATTATTACATTATTACACTGACAGCTGGGTAGTTATATGATAATGTAGTGGGTGTATTATTATTATTACACTGACAGCTGGGTAGTTATATGATAATGTAGTGGGTGTATTATTACATTATTACACTGACAGCTGGGTAGTTATATGATAATGTAGTGGGTGTATTATTACATTATTACACTGACAGCTGGGTAGTTATATGATAATGTAGTGGGTGTATTATTACATTATTACACTGACAGCTGGGTAGTTATATGATAATGTATGTATTATTACACTGACAGCTGGGTAGTTATATGATAATGTAGTGGGTGTATTATTACATTATTACACTGACAGCTGGGTAGTTATATGATAATGTAGTGGGTGTATTATTACATTATTACACTGACAGCTGGGTAGTTATATGATAATGTAGTGGGTGTATTATTACATTATTACACTGACAGCTGGGTAGTTATATGATAATGTAGTGGGTGTAATATTACACTGACAGCTGGGTAGTTATATGATAATGTAGTGGGTGTATTATTACATTATTACACTGACAGCTGGGTAGTTATATGATAATGTAGTGGGTGTATTATTACATTATTACACTGACAGCTGGGTAGTTATATGATAATGTAGTGGGTGTATTATTACATTATTACACTGACAGCTGGGTAGTTATATGATAATGTAGTGGGTGTATTATTACATTATTACACTGACAGCTGGGTAGTTATATGATAATGTAGTGGGTGTATTATTACATTATTACACTGACAGCTGGATAGTTATATGATAATGTAGTGGGTGTATTATTACACTGACAGCTGGGTAGTTATATGATAATGTAGTGGGTGTATTATTACATTATTACACTGACAGCTGGGTAGTTATATGATAATGTAGTGGGTGTATTATTACATTATTACACTGACAGCTGGGTAGTTATATGATAATGTAGTGGGTGTATTATTACATTATTACACTGACAGCTAGGTAGTTATATGATAATGTAGTGGGTGTATTATTACATTATTACACTGACAGCTGGGTAGTTATATGATAATGTGACAGCTAGGTAGTTATATGATAATGTAGTGGGTGTATTATTACATTATTACACTGACAGCTGGGTAGTTATATGATAATGTAGTGGGTGTATTATTACACTGACAGCTAGGTAGTTATATGATAATGTAGTGGGTGTAGCTGGGTAGTTATATGATAATGTAGTGGGTTACATTATTACACTGACAGCTAGGTAGTTATATGATAATGTAGTGGGTGTATTATTACACTGACAGCTGGGTAGTTATATGATAATGTAGTGGGTGTATTATTACATTATTACACTGACAGCTGGGTAGTTATATGATAATGTAGTGGGTGTAATATTACACTGACAGCTGGGTAGTTATATGATAATGTAGTGGGTGTATTATTACATTATTACACTGACAGCTGGGTAGTTATATGATAATGTAGTGGGTGTATTATACACTGACACATTATTACACTGACAGCTGGGTAGTTATATGATAATGTAGTGGGTGTATTATTACATTATTACACTGACAGCTGGGTAGTTATATGATAATGTAGTGGGTGTATTATTACATATTACACTGACAGCTGGGTAGTTATATGATAATGTAGTGGGTGTATTATTACATTATTACACTGACAGCTAGGTAGTTATATGATAATGTAGTGGGTGTATTATTACATTATTACACTGACAGCTGGGTAGTTATATGATAATGTAGTGGGTGTATTATTACATTATTACACTGACAGCTGGGTAGTTATATGATAATGTAGTGGGTGTATTATTACATTATTACACTGACAGCTGGGTAGTTATATGATAATGTAGTGGGTGTATTATTACACTGACAGCTGGGTAGTTATATGATAATGTAGTGGGTGTATTATTACATTATTACACTGACAGCTAGGTAGTTATATGATAATGTAGTGGGTGTATTATTACATTATTACACTGACAGCTGGGTAGTTATATGATAATGTAGTGGGTGTATTATTACATTATTACACTGACAGCTGGGTAGTTATATGATAATGTAGTGGGTGTATTATTACATTATTACACTGACAGCTGGGTAGTTATATGATAATGTAGTGGGTGTATTATTACATTATTACACTGACAGCTGGGTAGTTATATGATAATGTAGTGGGTGTATTATTACATTATTACACTGACAGCTGGGTAGTTATATGATAATGTAGTGGGTGTATTATTACACTGACAGCTGGGTAGTTATATGATAATGTAGTGGGTGTATTATTACATTATTACACTGACAGCTAGGTAGTTATATGATAATGTAGTGGGTGTATTATTACATTATTACACTGACAGCTGGGTAGTTATATGATAATGTAGTGGGTGTAATATTACACTAACAGCTGGATAGTTATATGATAATGTAGTGGGTGTAATATTACACTGACAGCTGGGTAGTTATATGATAATGTAGTGGGTGTATTATTACATTATTACACTGACAGCTGGGTAGTTATATGATAATGTAGTGGGTGTATTATTACACTGACAGCTAGGTAGTTATATGATAATGTAGTGGGTGTATTATTACACTGACAGCTAGGTAGTTATATGATAATGTAGTGGGTGTATTATTACATTATTACACTGACAGCTGGGTAGTTATATGATAATGTAGTGGGTGTATTATTACACTGACAGCTGGGTAGTTATATGATAATGTAGTGGGTGTATTATTACACTGACAGCTGGGTAGTTATATGATAATGTAGTGGGTGTATTATTACATTATTACACTGACAGCTGGGTAGTTATATGATAATGTAGTGGGTGTATTATTACACTGACAGCTGGGTAGTTATATGATAATGTAGTGGGTGTATTATTACACTGACAGCTAGGTAGTTATATGATAATGTAGTGGGTGTATTATTACATTATTACACTGACAGCTGGGTAGTTATATGATAATGTAGTGGGTGTATTATTACATTATTACACTGACAGCTAGGTAGTTATATGATAATGTAGTGGGTGTATTATTACATTATTACACTGACAGCTGGGTAGTTATATGATAATGTAGTGGGTGTATTATTACACTGACAGCTAGGTAGTTATATGATAATGTAGTGGGTGTATTATTACATTATTACACTGACAGCTGGGTAGTTATATGATAATGTAGTGGGTGTATTATTACATTATTACACTGACAGCTAGGTAGTTATATGATAATGTAGTGGGTGTATTATTACATTATTACACTGACAGCTAGGTAGTTATATGATAATGTAGTGGGTGTATTATTACATTATTACACTGACAGCTGGGTAGTTATATGATAATGTAGTGGGTGTATTATTACATTATTACACTGACAGCTGGGTAGTTATATGATAATGTAGTGGGTGTATTATTACATTATTACACTGACAGCTAGGTAGTTATATGATAATGTAGTGCGTGTATTATTACATTATTACACTGACAGCTGGGTAGTTATATGATAATGTAGTGGGTGTATTATTACATTATTACACTGACAGCTGGGTAGTTATATGATAATGTAGTGGGTGTATTATTACATTATTACACTGACAGCTAGGTAGTTATATGATAATTCATTCAGCTGATATTTTTGACATTGGTTATTTGTTTGTTTTTTGTAGGCCGGGATACCAATGTTATAGTGTATATTAAACGGAGACTAGCTATGTGTGCTAGAAAGCTGGGTCGAACAAGAGAGGCAGTCAAGATGATGCGAGAGGTAGGCTATGATGTTATTCAACTTTTTATGCTCCCATGAAGGGAGTCCATGTAGTTTACGCATTGTCTGTCTGTCCATTTGATTGTCCGTCCGTCTGTCTGTGCATGATAATTTTGTCCGTGGCATCTCACAAAAACTTCATTGGTAGATAGATCTCAATAATGAGAAGGGCAGTGTACAAGAACCATAACTCTCTTTTACATAATTTAGGAGTTATTGAAACTTTAGTATACATTAGTCGTACTAAGAGATTGTACAGTTTACCAAATTATAGGGGCTGTAACTTCTTTATCATAGAATTATCGCCTTTGATTAAATTTTGTTTCGTAATGCACTTTATCAAGGGTTTGTGTAAATCTCTCTGTTGTTCATGCTTTGTCCTTGTTTCACTATTAGTTAGTGGGATTAGCTATATTTGTTTTACAACTATTTTTAAGGCTGTTTTTTACTGTCTCAAGATGTAAGAATACGATATCTGTAACTCTGTGTTACTGGAATTTCTGACAGTAGTCAGCCTCCTATCCATCATCCAGTATCTCAAGTAGAGTTGTTCTCATATCAGTACAAGTGTTTATCTATTTGGTTCAAACTATATAACAAAGAAAAGATAACCGAGCAGTTTTAGAATAATTAAAATTTCTTCACAGGAAAAAATTTACAATGTCATAAAATTTAAGTTGTGTAGCTTAAAATCATTTTGGTACAAGCAATTCATCATGTCAAACACAGTTAACAAACTTTACAGTAGAAATTCTTACATGGCTTAAGATGATTTCAGAAGTGTTAAATAGGTTGGAGGCAGGTATTTATAAGTGTGCTATGAAAGTTCAATATCAACATATAACCCTACAGTTATTACAGCTATGATATATTGTAACCTTCACAAAAGAGGCAGAATATCATCACCTCGTTAAATAACACTGTTGACACGTGTGTATAGTCACAGCTTGTCCTCTATTGATTATGTCCTACAGTTTTTGGATAATCTCTGGAAAATTGGGACATTCCTTTCACATGCATGAGACAGTGAAATCTCTCACGCTACCCTGTGCTTGATTTTTCCGTCTCATCCATCTTTTTTGGTACCTTAATGTACTATTTTGACAAAATCCTGATTGAGGAATATATTCTATTACCTGTATGTGATCAAGATTGATCACTTAGGCAGACATTCTATAACATTTCATTCTTAGCTCTGCCTGGAATGAGTCAAAGTCAGCTCTCCACTGATATGCATTGATCTTGAACAAATCCTATTATTCTGGTGTTGATTTAATCAGCATTTTTACATATATGTCTGGTTTTCATGCAGAAGTTGGAATGTCTCAAAAAGTACTCTTTATTTGAGTGTAGATGCTGCCAATATTAAATATCAACAATACCTCATAGTTGTCTGTCTAGGGATCTGGTTAACAATTGGTGTTCAATCCAGCAGTTGTCAACCAAGAGAGGTGGTTAACAATAGGTGTTCCATCCAGCAGTTGTCTGTCTAGAGATTTGGTTAACAATAGGTGTTCCATCCAGCAGTTGTCTGTCTAGAGATCTGGATAACAATAGGTGTTCCATCCAGAAGTTGTCTGTCTAGAGATTTGGTTAACAATAGGTGTTCCAACCAGCAGTTGTCTGTCTAGAGATCTGGTTAACAATAGGTGTTCAATCCAGCAGTTGTCTGTCTAGAGATCTGGTTAACAATAGGTGTTCCATCCAGAAGTTGTCTGTCTAGAGATCTGGTTAACAATAGGTGTTCCATCCAGAAGTTGTCTGTCTAGAGATCTGGTTAACAATAGGTGTTCCATCCAGAAGTTGTCTGTCTAGAGATTTGGTTAACAATAGGTGTTCCAACCAGCAGTTGTCTGTCTAGAGATCTGGTTAACAATAGGTGTTCAATCCAGAAGTTGTCTGTCTAGAGATCTGGTTAACAATAGGTGTTCCATCCAGAAGTTGTCTGTCTAGAGATTTGGTTAACAATAGGTGTTCCATCCAGAAGTTGTCTGTCTAGAGATCTGGTTAACAATAGGTGTTCCATCCAGCAGTTGTCTGTCTAGAGATCTGGTTAACAATAGGTGTTCAATCCAGCAGTTATCTGTCTAGAGATCTGGTTAACAATAGGCGTTCCATCCAGCAGTTGTCTGTCTAGAGATCTGGTTAACAATAGACATCCAGCAGTTGATATAGTCTAGAGATTGGTTAACAATAGGTGACATATTAGTACAGCATGTCTGTCTAGAGATCTGGTTATCCATAGACTTGATTAGGGTACATGTGGACATATTACAGGATATAGACTTGATTAGGGTACACGTGGACATATTACAGGATATAGACTTGATTAGGGTACATGTGGACATATTACAGGATATAGACTTGATTAGGGTACATGTGGACATATTACAGGATATAGACTTGATTAGGGTACATGTGGACATATTACAGGATATAGACTTGATTAGGGTACATGTGGACATATTACAGGATATAGACTTGATTAGGGTACATGTGGACATATTACAGGATATAGACTTGATTAGGGTACATGTGGACATATTACAGGATATAGACTTGATTAGGGTACATGTGGACATATTACAGGATATAGACTTGATTAGGGTACACGTGAACATATTACAGGATATAGACTTGATTAGGGTACTTGTGGACATATTACAGGATACAGACTTGATTAGGGTACATGTGGACATATTACAGGTGTATGCTTGATTAGGGTACATGTGGACATATTACAGGATATAGACTTGATTAGGGTACATGTGGACATATTACAGGATATAGACTTGATTTGGTGTCTTGTGGACATATTACAGGATATAGACTTGATTAGGGTACATGTGGACATATTACAGGATATAGACTTGATTAGGGTACATGTGGACATATTACAGGATATAGACTTGATTAGGGTACATGTGGACATATTACAGGATATAGACTTGATTAGGGTACATGTGGACATATTACAGGATATAGACTTGATTAGGGTACATGTGGACATATTACAGGATATAGACTTGATTAGGGTACATGTGGACATATTACAGGATATAGACTTGATTAGGGTACATGTGGACATATTACAGGATATAGACTTGATTAGGGTACATGTGGACATATTACAGGTGTATGCTTGATTAGGGTACATGTGGACATATTACAGGATATAGACTTGATTAGGGTACATGTGGACATATTACAGGATATAGACTTGATTAGGGTACATGTGGACATATTACAGGATATAGACTTGATTAGGGTACATGTGGACATATTACAGGATATAGACTTGATTAGGGTACATGTGGACATATTACAGGATATAGACTTGATTAGGGTACATGTGGACATATAACACGATATAGAAGACATAAGAAGACATGTGGACATATTACAGGATATAGACTTGATTAGGGTACATGTGGACATATTACAGGATATAGACTTGATTAGGGTACATGTGGACATATTACAGGATATAGACTTGATTAGGGTACATGTGGACATATTACAGGATATAGACTTGATTAGGGTACATGTGGACATATTACAGGATATAGACTTGATTAGGGTACATGTGGACATATTACAGGATATAGACTTGATTAGGGTACATGTGGACATATTACAGGATATAGACTTGATTAGGGTACATGTAGAGCACAAATAACAGGATATAGACTTGATTATGGTACACGTGGACATATTACAGGATATAGACTTGATTAGGGTACATGTGGACATATTACAGGATATAGACTTGATTAGGGTACATGTGGACATATTACAGGATATAGACTTGATTAGGGTACATGTGGACATATTACAGGATATAGACTTGATTAGGGTACATATTATGTAGGGACATATTACATATTACAGGAGGATGTAGGATATAGACTTGATTAGGGTACATGTGGACATATTACAGGATACAGACTTGATTAGGGTACATGTGGACATATTACAGGATATAGACTTGATTAGGGTACATGTGGACATATTACAGGATATAGACTTGATTAGGGTACATTAGGGTACATGTGGACATATTACAGGATATAGACTTGATTAGGGTACATGTGGACATATTACAGGATATAGACTTGATTAGGGTACATGGGACATATTACAGGATATAGATAGGTGACTGGTGGGCATATTTAGTCTTGATTAGGGTACATGTGGACATATTACAGGATATAGACTTGATTAGGGTACATGTGGACATATTACAGGATATAGACTTGATTAGGGTACATGTGGACATATTACAGGATATAGACTTGATTAGGGTACACGTGGACATATTACAGGATATAGACTTGATTAGGGTACATGTGGACATATTACAGGATATAGACTTGATTAGGGTACATGTGGACATATTACAGGATATAGACTTGATTAGGTGACTGGTGGGCATATTACAGGATATAGACTTGATTAGGGTACATGTGGACATATTACAGGATATAGACTTGATTAGGGTACATGTGGACATATTACAGGATATAGACTTGATTAGGGTACATGTGGACATATTACAGGATATAGACTTGATTAGGGTACATGTGGACATATTACAGGATATAGACTTGATTAGGGTACATGTGGACATATTACAGGATATAGACTTGATTAGGGTACATGTGGACATATTACAGGATATAGACTTGATTAGGGTACATGTGGACATATTACAGGATATAGACTTGATTAGGGTACATGTGGACATATTACAGGATATAGACTTGATTAGGGTACATGTGGACATATTACAGGTGTAGGCTTGATTAGGGTACATGTGGACATATTACAGGATATAGACTTGATTAGGGTACACGTGGACATATTACAGGATATAGACTTGATTAGGTGACTGGTGGGCATATTACATAATAAGGGTTAGTTTACATTTGGAATGATATTATTTTCATTTTTTTCAGCTCATGAAAGAATTTCCAATGTTGAATTTATTCAACATTCATGAAAATCTTATAGATGCTTTATTAGAGCTACAGGCCTACGCAGATGTACAAGCTGTTCTAGCAAAATATGATGGTAAGTACTTATTGATGTACAAGTTAATGGCCACTGGTTATCAAGTAGCAGTTAAATCTAATGATGGGTACTTATTAATGTACAAGTTAATGGCCAATGGTTATCAAGTAGCAGTTAGATATGATGGTGGGTAATTATTGATTTATAATTGATTGGTTTCTGGTTATCAAGTAGCTTTCAGTTAAAGCTATCAAATTAAAAGGTATTTTTAACCCAGTTTAAGATGTTATAGGAAACGATTATGGTTAAGTGTTAATGTTATTGATCACTGTTTATTTTCATTGTTGTAGAGGTAGTGTGATCCTCGTCCATCTTGTCACATCCTGTTCCATCTCATTCTCAGATCTTGAAAACCTCTTATTAGGTTTGGTGTATATGAAATTTATTTATGTTACAACAATTTTCAAACTTATACTAATCACATTTGTTGGCCTAGATTGAACATTAAAAGATGTCTTACTTTGTTGGAAACTAGAGTACACAGGGAAAACCTACACTGTCGAGAAAGTGACCCTTAACTCTTCAGTCTGGGGAATGAAGCCCTGGATATCTTGGTGAAAAATGAGTGCATTACCACTGCACCATCCAACCACCAAGATTTGGTTTATAATTTCTGATTCAGATATTCAGATTCTTTAATCCATATGGATTGTCAGTATACAGATACAAAAACAGTATACATATTCAAACAACAATAAGATGATACAATCAATATAAACACAATTACACCTCCTACCACACTCACGCCCACACACCCACACCCACACCCAACCACCCACCCACCCACATACCCACACACATCCACCCACACCCACACACAACCACACCCACACACATCCACCCACACCCAACCACATACCCACACACATCCACCCACACCCACACACAACCACACCCACACACATCCACCCACACCCAACCACACACCCACATACATCCACCCACCCATCCACATACCCACACACATCCACCCACACCCACACACAACCACACCCACACCCAACCAGGGATAACAGAACCATGGTGTCTACACACATCAGCAAGAATAGATTTACTGTTTGTTGTTCAATAGAAGGACATTCATTTGTTAAAAGTATTCATTCCCCAGTCATTCACATACAAAGAAAACTTTATCAGGGATAAACTTTCCCCCTGGAACATTTCTACAATTAAAGAAATCAGATAAACTCTTATTATATTTAACACAATATTTAACATCATTGTACAAAGACCATATAATAGTCAACATTTTTCCTGTCATGCCGTTTTTGATAAGTTTATATCATAGGTTTTGCCTGTTAACGAAGTCGAATGCTTCTTATAATCAATAAAACTGCAATATAATCTTAGTTTTCAGTGTTTTACTAATGAACATCTACAGAACAAATATAGCATCAGTGGTTAACATAAATTGTCTTGAAGTGAGTGTCACTAATTATTGAATATTTCATATCAAAATCAATAAATCGTTTATTCAAAATTGAAGTAAAATGTTTTCTTGAGCAACTTTTTAATGTGATACCACAATAGTTGTTCGTATCATTTCTATGGCCCTGTATAAAGACAGGTACTATGTTACCAACAGACCAAGATTGTGGATAGTTTTCAGACTTGTTATTAAGTAAAACTACTTACTAGATATGGTTAGTATATATTTATATTTATCCAATGACGCCTTGGTTTTTCTTTGATCTTTTCCTGGTGATAAATTTCAGATATCACATATAAAATATCGCATGGTTCTCTCTGATTGGTCTACACCTCATTAGGGAGGTGGTGCCCATTTCCAAGTGGGCGAGACAGATAAACAAAGACATAATCTAACTAATCTTTAATACATAAAAAAAATATAAAATTTTTGTTAAATTGATATTCGTCATTTTGACGTTAGTTAACACATTCAAACAATTCTGTAAAAAAGTACAACGCATTACTAACGAGAGAGCAGAGATCAGCACATGAACACTGTATAGCCCTACATTGAATAAAAGTTCACATTGCAGTTGTGTGACTGATACTGAGCACGGACTAAATGCCTCAATGTCTTGTAACGCCAATTCATACTTGGTGACGGCCTGTGATAATGTTATATCATCGTGATCGCAGAAAACACCAGCGTCGATGTTTCTAAAGTCTTTCCAGATGTTGTCCAGCTCCGACATCTCTGACATCTACTAATGAAATGATTTATTACTGTGACAGGAAATGGGATGGGTAAGAAAATGGCGGGAAAATCATCGACTTGACACTAATCAGCTCCTAATAGGTTCTAGCTCCGCCCCTTGGCACGTGGATGAGAAAACCTCGGTGGTCATTGGATAAAACAGATACATAATCGACACTCGTGTCCATTATGTATTTATTACATTGCCTATATATAATAAAATATTCATTTATTAGTAAGTCCTAACCACCAGTCTGGAATTTGTTATTAGTATTTACAATTTCTTCTTAAGTAATGTCACAGTCTAATTCTTGAAACAAAGAGTCAGATACATTTCCATATATGTAAGCATTTAGAAATTTCAAAATCTGTTCATTTTCTCGTAATTCTGTGTATGATAATCAATGAAAATAATTGGAGAAATCTTATTTAAATTACAATCGGAGGTATTTTTCTGGAACTGTTTTGGATTATTCTTTCTCATGAATTTCATCATGTTACTTTGTTGATTCTTGTACTCGCTTCTAAACTTACATTCTTATTTTTTATATGTTTGTTTGATACAAAGAAGAATGTTTCTTTTTCCATCTGATTTTATCCGAGTTAAGAATTGTTAATGACTATGTATATTCTTTACACAATTTTTGACCAGCTTCTTTGACTATGGTTTATCTTCCATTGTAACCTGATAAACTGATCGTGAATTATACGTAACACCAAGTCATGTCAAGTATTGGTAAATTTGTCAACACAACTATCAATTCCCGTTTTACTCAACTCACAGTGCATACAAATATTCAATAACTATACTCTATTTCTCTTTTACAAATTCATTACACTTTCTGTATGTTCTTCATTCCATTTCACAATAGTAAGTGTACTGTTTTATCATTATTTTGTAAAATGTTGTTCTTGATTTACTGCTGACCACTTGAGTTCTCAGAGAAATAGAAGGTAAAGACAGAGAATGACAAAACAACAGGATTCTGTTACTTAACTTTGCGGAAATCAGGTTATGGACAAAATTGTAGTCGAAGGCAAAAATTATCGAATGTTTGATGGAGTTTGTATCTTCAGATCAATTTTACATCACAGGATTGGAAACAAAATGTGACCATGATCTAAATACCAGTGTAAGACATTGTAAGAGAGGTACTTTGTAATCACTTGTAAAGCAAACTTGCTTGTTTCATGTGATTTAAGATATACACGTTTACCACCTCTGACTAAACAAGTTACACAGTACCAGAACATCTGCTAGATATGTATATACATTCTTGTCAATGGACTTTAATGCAGTGTGGTGATAGATCTTTCCCAGAAGAACATGGCTTCTCTGTGTATAGATAGATACAAGCACCAAAATGTCATTATATATTCTATCTACAGCTGCATTGCATCTTTTCTCAGGCGATTTTATTTTAGGGGGGTGGGGGGGAATGATGATAATCAATAAACGCATTGTGTTGCAACTGACATTTTGGAAGAATCCTGAATGTCATCCTTAGTGATGCAAATAATACTATGTTTTGTTGCACTTATAGGATGATAATTCGACAAATGATAAATTATTCACTGCAGACATACATGCTTTACTTAAGCATTAGACTCAGGGGAGTGTTGATGACGTCTTTTACATAACTGCTTCTATTGTCCGACAATGCTTTTAGTAGCTGACATAGACAATGTTATTGATTTTTACGGCTGATGCAGGATGTGGTCTACAAACACCATCAACTTTTGATCTGAAAATTAATCATTACGAGGTAAAAAAGGAAGTAGGAAAGTCTGGATTAGTCTATAAAAGGTGAATTGTAGCTGTCAATCATATATTTACACTTTTATTTTCCATTGGATCTCATTCTCCTCTCCTCACATGAATTTCTTCTATCAAGAGATCTCCTGTCTTCCTAAGGATTGTCAGAAACAACTAGAATAAGAGAGTAAGGTTTCCATTGAAATCAAGGGTACATCTTTTATGATGTAACATACCAAAAGGTTTCCATTGAAATCAAGGTACATCTTGTATGATGTAACATACCAAAAGGTTTCCATTGAAATCAAGGGTACATCTTGTATGATGTAACATACCAAAAGGTTTCCATTGAAATCAAGGGTACATCTTTTATGATGTAACATACCAAAAGGTTTCCATTGAAATCAAGGGTACATCTTGTATGATGTAAAATACCAAAAGGTTTCCATTGAAATCAAGGGTACATCTTTTATGATGTAACATACCAAAAGGTTTCCATTGAAATCAAGGGTACATCTTTTATGATGTAACATACCAAAAGGTTTCCATTGAAATCAAGGGTACATCTTGTATGATGTAACATACCAAAAGAACCATATATCTCAGGGCTCTCGATCTGCCAGATTTGGGGCCGATATTTAGCCCCATTCCCAATGCAAAATAGTATCTTTTTTTCCCAATTTAGACCCCAAGTTTTCCCAATTCTAAGGAAAACACCATTATTTTTCCCAATTCAAAGGGCCCCAGTCCCAAAATGTATCTTCACAGATAAAGATGGAACAAAACGCATGATAATGTTTAGGGAAACATGTGTCATGAAGGTAGCAATCTTAAAACACAAGCAACATATAGGAAACAGTGTATTCCCTTAAGGTGACCCCTTTCTTAGGGAAACTATCAAAACAGGGATATTGAATATTAATCAGTAATTATTTTGTCATTTTATCATAATGTAGATTGAGTTGCTTTATTTGTTGTTAGGATATGGATTGACTTTCCTATTGTTATTTCTGTACAGATATCAGTTTACCAAAGTCAGCCACTATATGTTACACAGCAGCACTTCTAAAAGCCAGGGCAGTAGCTGACAAGTAAGTACCTCAGCTGACCTCTCCAGGTCACCATAGAATGTCATAACTGCTTAGTCTAAAGATGTACAGGGAGTGTACAGTAAATGAGAAGGAGAGAAAATAGACTGGAAGGAAACATAATTAGAGGGAAGGAGAAAAAAGTAAAAGGGGAGGTGTGGTTATAAGGTTGTATGGGGACATAATGGGAGGGGAGAAGAAGGGAGAGAATGGAGGTAACAGGGGAGGTGTGGTTATAAGGTTGTATGGGGACATAATGGGAGGGGAGAAGAAGGGAGAGGATGGAGGTAACAGGGGAGGTGTGGTTATAAGGTTGTATGGGGACATAATGGGAGGGGAGAAGAAGGGAGAGGATGGAGGTAACAAGGGAGGTGTGGTTATAAGGTTGTATGGGGACATAATGGGAGGGGAGAAGAAGGGAGAGAATGGATGTAACAGGGGAGGTGTGGTTATAAGGTTGTATGGGGACATAATGGGAGGGGAGAAGAAGGGAGAGGATGGATCTAACAGTGGAGGAGGGGTTATAAGGTTGTATGGGGACATAATGGGACAGGGAGGGGAGAAGAAGGGAGAGGATGGAGGTAACAGGGGAGGTGTGGTTATAAGGTTGTATGGGGACATAATGGGAGGGGAGAAGAAGGGAGAGGATGGAGGTAACAGGGGAGGTGTGGTTATAAGGTTGTATGGGGACATAATGGGAGGGGAGAAGAAGGGAGAGGATGGATGTAACAGGGGAGGTGTGGTTATAAGGTTGTATGGGGACATAATGGGAGGGGAGAAGAAGGGAGAGGATGGAGGTAACAGGGGAGGTGTGGTTATAAGGTTGTATGGGGACATAATGGGAGGGGAGAAGAAGGGAGAGGATGGAGGTAACAGGGGAGGTGTGGTTATAAGGTTGTATGGGGACATAATGGGAGGGGAGAAGAAGGGAGAGGATGGAGGTAACAGGGGAGGTGTGGTTATAAGGTTGTATGGGGACATAATGGGAGGGGAGAAGAAGGGAGAGGATGGAGGTAACAGGGGAGTGTGGTTATAAGGTTGTATTGGGTCATTATGGGAGTAAGTAAATATGGAGGGGTGTGATAGGTTGGGCTAGATGTAGACAAAGATGGGAGTTATGATTGGTGGAGCAGAACAATATTATTTCAAGGTTGGAAGTGAGGACTTCATGTTATAATGTGGAAAATACTAGTAAAACAAATATTGAGAACAAGGTAGTAACAAAAATGTTCAAAAATCAAAATTCATTCTGTGTCTGTGTTTTAATCATATCTGCTACTATCTGATGGTTATTAAAATGACTACCTACATATACAAGGATTCTCACCTCAGTAATAGCCAGATCCAGGAATAGGTAGCAGCCCATCAGCCAATGCTATAAGCTGTCTAATGCTGGAGGATCTCGTTGTCCTTTTCTTGCTCTTTGTGATATTGACAAAGTCATTACAATATCAGAATGACATAGTAATCATGTTTTGAATATCGTACAAAGTTACATGTTGTTTACATGTTGCAAATTGAATGCTTTACTCTTAAGAGCTTTTGTCTTAGGATAAACCTTGATTCTCCAAAGTTTCAAGCTTATTTCTTCTCAGCTCATTGAACACACAGTTATAAGTCATAAGTAATGTACTCATGGTTGCTGTGATGTATAAAAGGCCTGAGATAGCAAGTATACTTTTTTATAATCATTTATCACGTGTTGTTGTTTGCCTGCTGTGAGTGGGAGGTTATGCGATGGTCTGGTGAGGTAGGTGTGTACTGGAGTGTGACTGCTGTAAGTGATAGGATTGAGTGATGGACTGGTGGAGGTAGGTGTGTATTTGAGTGTGATTGTTGTAAGTGGTAGGATTGAGTGATGGACTGGTGGAGGTAGGTGTGTACTGGAGTGTGACTGCTGTAAGTGGGAGGATTGAGTGATGGAGTGTGACTGCTGTAAGTGATAGGATTGAGTGATGGTCTGGTGGAGATAGGTGTGTACTGGAGTGTGACTGCTGTAAGTGGGAGGTTATGTGATGGTCTGGTGGAGGTAGGTGTGTACTGGAGTGCTGCTGTAAGTGGGAGGATTGAGTGATGGACTGGTGGAGGTAGATGTGTACTGGAGTGTGATTGTTGTAAGTGGTAGGATTGAGTGATGGACTGGTGGAGGTAGGTGTGTACTGGAGTGCGACTGTTGGAAGTGATAGGATTGAGAGATGGTCTGGTGGAGATAGGTGTGTACTGGAGTGTGACTGCAGTAAGTGATAGGATTGAGAGATGGTCTGGTGGAGATAGGTGTGTACTGGAGTGTGACTGCAGTAAGTGGTAGGATTGAGTGATGGTCTGGTGGAGATAGGTGTGTACTGGAGTGTGACTGTTGTAAGTGATAGGATTGAGAGATGGACTGGTGGAGGTAGATGTGTACTGGAGTGTGACTGCTGTAAATGGGTGGATTGAGTGATGGACTGGTGAAGGTAGGTGTGTACTGGAGTGTGACTGTTGTAAGTGGGAAGATTGAGAGATGAACTGGTGGAGGTAGGTGTGTACTGGAGTGTGACTGTTGTAAGTGATAGGATTGAGAGATGAACTGGTGGAGGTAGGTGTGTACTGGAGTGCGACTGTTGTAAGTGATAGGATTGAGAGATGGTCTGGTGGATGTAGGTGAGTACAGGAGTGTGACTGCTGTAAGTGGGAGGATTGAGAGATGGAGTGTGACTGCTGTAAGTGATAGGATTGAGTGATGGTCTGGTGGAGATAGGTGTGTACTGGAGTGTGACTGCTGTAAGTGGGAGGTTATGTGATGGTCTGGTGGAGGTAGGTGTGTACTGGAGTGTGACTGCTGTAAGTGGGAGGATTGAGTGATGGACTGGTGGAGGTAGATGTGTACTGGAGTGTGATTGTTGTAAGTGGTAGGATTGAGTGATGGACTGGTGGAGGTAGGTGTGTACTGGAGTGCGACTGTTGTAAGTGATAGGATTGAGAGATGGTCTGGTGGAGATAGGTGTGTACTGGAGTGTGACTGCAGTAAGTGATAGGATTGAGAGATGGTCTGGTGGAGATAGGTGTGTACTGGAGTGTGACTGCAGTAAGTGGTAGGATTGAGTGATGGTCTGGTGGAGATAGGTGTGTACTGGAGTGTGACTGTTGTAAGTGATAGGATTGAGAGATGGACTGGTGGAGGTAGATGTGTACTGGAGTGTGACTGCTGTAAATGGGTGGATTGAGTGATGGACTGGTGAAGGTAGGTGTGTACTGGAGTGTGACTGTTGTAAGTGGGAAGATTGAGAGATGAACTGGTGGAGGTAGGTGTGTACTGGAGTGTGACTGTTGTAAGTGATAGGATTGAGAGATGAACTGGTGGAGGTAGGTGTGTACTGGAGTGCGACTGTTGTAAGTGATAGGATTGAGAGATGGTCTGGTGGATGTAGGTGAGTACAGGAGTGTGACTGCTGTAAGTGGGAGGATTGAGAGATGGAGTGTGACTGCTGTAAGTGATAGGATTGAGTGATGGTCTGGTGGAGATAGGTGTGTACTGGAGTGTGACTGCAGTAAGTGATAGGATTGAGAGATGGTCTGGTGGAGATAGGTGTGTACTGGAGTGTGACTGCTGTAAGTGGTAGGATTGAGTGATGGTCTGGTGGAGATAGGTGTGTACTGGAGTGTGACTGTTGTAAGTGATAGGATTGAGAGATGGACTGGTGGAGGTAGATGTGTACTGGAGTGTGACTGCTGTAAATGGGTGGATTGAGTGATGGACTGGTGAAGGTAGGTGTGTACTGGAGTGTGACTGTTGGAAGTGGGAAGATTGAGAGATGAACTGGTGGAGGTAGGTGTGTACTGGAGTGTGACTGTTGTAAGTGATAGGATTGAGAGATGAACTGGTGGAGGTAGGTGTGTACTGGAGTGCGACTGTTGTAAGTGATAGGATTGAGAGATGGTCTGGTGGAGGTAGGTGTGTACTGGAGTGTGACTGCTGTAAGTGGGAGGATTGAGTGATGAGAGTGTGACTGCTGTAAGTGATAGGTATTTATATGAGAGATGGACTGCTGGTGGAGGTAGGTGTGTACTGGTACTGGAGTGTGACTGCTGTAAGTGGGAGGATTGAGTGATGGTCTGGTGGAGATAGGTGTGTACTGGAGTGTGACTGTTGTAAGTGATAGGATTGAGAGATGGACTGGTGGAGGTAGATGTGTACTGGAGTGTGACTGCTGTAAATGGGTGGATTGAGTGATGGACTGGTGAAGGTAGGTGTGTACTGGAGTGTGACTGTTGTAAGTGGGAAGATTGAGAGATGAACTGGTGGAGGTAGGTGTGTACTGGAGTGTGACGGCTGTAAGTGGGAGGATTGAGAGATGTATTTATATAGGTAGGTGTGTACTGGAGTGTGACTGCTGTAAGTGGGAGGATTGAGAGATGTATTTATATAGGTAGGTGTGTACTGGAGTGTGACGGCTGTAAGTGGGAGGATTGAGAGATGTATTTATATAGGTAGGTGTGTGTTGCATGCTGCATGTGCCTTTGTGGACAATTGATAATGATCAGCAGGTTCACTGATGCTTCTGTCATCCATAGGTTTTCACCAGATATAGCGTCCAAACGTGGCCTAAGTACAGCTGAAATGACAGCAGTCGAAGCCATACATAGAGCTGTAGAGTTCAACCCACATGTACCTAAGGTGAGTGACAGGGAGAAGCATATATATAGGTAGAATACAATGTTGGTCCCTGATAAACCAAAAGTCAGTGAAACATAAGCTGTAGGACGTCCCTGATAAACCAAAAGTCAGTGAAACATAAGCTGTAGGACGTCCCTGATAAACCAAAAGTCAGTGAAACATAAGCTGTAGGACGTCCCTGATAAACCAAAAGTCAGTGAAACGTAAGCTGTAGGACGTCCCTGATAAACCAAAAGTCAGTGAAACATAATGTAGGACGTAGATAAACCAAAAGTCAGTGTCCCTGATAAACCAAAAGTCAGTGAAACGTAAGCTGTAGGACGTCCCTGATAAACCAAAAGTCAGTGAAACGTAAGCTGTAGGACGTCCCTGATAAACCAAAAGTCAGTGAAACGTAAGCTGTAGGAAGTCCCTGATAAACCAAAAGTCAGTGAAACGTAAGCTGTAGGACGTCCCTGATAAACCAAAAGTCAGTGAAACATAAGCTGTAGGACGTAGTATATTCTCTGTGTATACAAGGCAGAGAGGTCAAATGTTGGATTCTCAATGTATTGTGAAAAAGGACTATTTAATGTTTTCTGTTTTTTATCAAAATCAAAATGTACAGGTATACTAGTTTGTTACCATTTTCAGACACTTAGAAATGTTATGGTTAATTATGACTGAAAAAGACCAAGAATGTTGACTTAATCTGCTGGTTTGTTTTCCAGTATTTACTAGAGATGAAGAGCCTCATTTTACCTCCAGAACATATCCTCAAGCGAGGCGACAGTGAGGCTATAGCTTATGCCTTTTTCCACCTCCAACACTGGAAACGAGTTGAAGGTGCTATAAACCTATTACACTGTACATGGGAGGGCAGTAAGTATTCAGGAACAACTGTATACATAGACATTTATTATCATTATTTATTATTTCATCATTTCAATCAGAATGTTTTTGTTCTTACTTATCCTGAAGATGATGTAATTTTATAAAACTGCAGGAAGTACGTCTTCAAAATGGAGGACATTGTTAGTAACTTGATGAGGTTATTACATCAGGTGATAGCTTAACTTAATGTGAAATCATTGACTTTTTTTTTCCAGCATTTCGAATGATTCCTTATCCTTTGGAAAAGGGCCACCTCTTTTATCCCTATCCCACATGTACAGAAAGTGCAGACAGAGAACTTCTTCCTCGTAAGTAGCTCACCTGGTCTGAAACATACTTTGGACGAGGGGAATCAGTTTTGTGTACCAGGAAATTGGTGGGTTTTGGCCTTCTGTGGCGAGGCAAAATATAAAAAATAAAGAAAATTCTCTACAACCCTATTTTTTGTTGGAATTTCTTGATTTTGTCCAGATTTGGTCTGAAGTATATCTAGTTGAAAGAAATCTAGTTTTGTATAAACCAGGAGTCTGACATCAGAGATGTGGGGCCCAATAGGTAATTATAAGTTTGGAAAAATCCTTCTTTCATGCAAAGGATATTGCCTGAAGCAATTTTTATGAATGGTGAATCTTACTTCTATCTGATCACAATGATAGGACTGTCAATTCCTTATTAATTGACTGAATAGCTGAATAAGCCAGATGAGAGATGCAGGCCCCTTGGGCTTTTTGTTCATCACCAATTCATGATTACATTCTCTCCTTTTCTGTCCCAAGATGTCTATAAATAGCTTTTAGAAATCATACTTAAGTGTTGGTAAATTGACTGATGACGTGTTAAAATTGCATCAATATTTTTAAGACATTTGACACTAGAATTCAAAACACAAATAATTCATGACACATTTGACAGGGACACAGTAATTCATGACACATTTGACAGGAATAGGGACACAGTAATTCATGACACATTTGACAGGAATAGGGACACAGTAATTCATGACACATTTGACAGGGACAGGGTAATTCATGACACATTTGACAGGAACACACAGTAATTCATGACACATTTGACAGGGACAGGGTAATTCATGACACATTTGACAGGAACACAGTAATTCATGACACATTTGACAGGAACACAGTAATTCATGACACATTTGACAGGGACAGGGTAATTCATGACACATTTGACAGGAACACAGTAATTCATGACACATTTGACAGGGACAGGGTAATTCATGACACATTTGACAGGAACACAGTAATTCATGACACATTTGACAGGAACACAGTAATTCATGACACATTTGACAGGGACAGGGTAATTCATGACACATTTGACAGGGACAGGGTAATTTATGACACATTTGACATGAACACAGTAATTCATGACATATTTGACAGGAACACAGTAATTCATGACACATTTGACAGGGTAATTTATGACACATTTGACAGGAACACAGTAATTCATGACACATTTGACAGGAACACAGTAATTCATGACACATTTGACAGGAACACAGTAATTCATGACACATTTGACAGGGACAGGGTAATTCATGACACAGGGACATAGTAATTCATGACACATTTGACAGGGACACAGTAATTCATGACACATTTGACAGGGACACAGTAATTCATGACACATTTGACAGGAGCACAGTAATTCATGACACATTTGACAGGAACACAGTAATTCATGACACATTTGACAGGAACACAGTAATTCATGACACATTTGACAGGGACACAGTAATTCATGACACATTTGACAGGAACACAGTAATTCATGACACATTTGACAGGAACACAGTAATTCATGACACATTTGACAGGGACATAGTAATTCATGACACATTTGACAGGAACACAGTAATTCATGACACATTTGACAGGAACACAGTAATTCATGACACATTTGACAGGGATATAGTAATTCATGACACATTTGACAGGAACACAGTAATTCATGACACATTTGACAGGAACACAGTAATTCATGACACATTTGACAGGAACACAGTAATTCATGACACATTTGACAGGAACACAGTAATTCATGACACATTTAACAGGGACAGGGTAATTCATGACACATTTGACAGGAACACAGTAATTCATGACACATTTGACAGGGACATAGTAATTCATGACACATTTGACAGGGACACAGTAATTCATGACACATTTGACAGGGACAGGGTAATTCATGACACATTTGACATGAACACAGTAATTCATGACACATTTGACAGGAACACAGTAATTCATTACACATTTGACAGGAACACAGTAATTCATGACACATTTGACAGGAACACAGTAATTCATGACACATTTGACAGGGACAGGGTAATTCATGACACATTTGACAGGAACACAGTAATTCATGACACATTTGACAGGAACACAGTAATTCATGACACATTTGACAGGAACACAGTAATTCATGGACACAGTAATTCATGACACATTTGACAGGGACAGTAATTCATGACACATTTGACAGGAACACAGTAATTCATGACACATTTGACAGGAACACAGTAATTCATGACACATTTGACAGGAACACAGTAATTCATGACACATTTGACAGGGACACAGTAATTCATGACACATTTGACAGGAACACATTAATTCATGACACATTTGACAGGGACAGGGTAATTCATGACACATTTGACAGGAACACAGTAATTCATGACACATTTGACAGGAACACAGTAATTCATGACACATTTGACAGGGACACAGTAATTCATGACACATTTGACAGGAACACAGTAATTCATGACACATTTGACAGGGACATAGTAATTCATGACACATTTGACAGGAACACAGTAAATCATGACACATTTGACAGGGACAGGGTAATTCATGACACATTTGACAGGAACACAGTAATTCATGACACATTTGACAGGAACACAGTAATTCATGACACATTTGACAGGAACACAGTAATTCATGACACATTTGACAGGAACACAGTAATTCAATGACAGATTTGACAGGAACACAGTAATTCATGACACATTTGACAGGGACATAGTAATTCATGACACATTTGACAGGAACACAGTAATTCATGACACATTAGACAGGAACACAGTAATTCATGACACATTTGACAGGGACAGGGTAATTTATGACACATTTGACAGGAACATGGTAATTCATGACACATTTGACAGGAACACAGTAATTCATGACACATTTGACAGGGACACAGTAATTCATGACACATTTAACAGGGACAGGGTAATTCATGACACATTTGACAGGAACACAGTAATTCATGACACATTTGACAGGGACATAGTAATTCATGACACATTTGACAGGGACACAGTAATTCATGACACATTTGACAGGGACAGTAATTCATGACACATTTGACAGGAACACAGTAATTCATGACACATTTGACAGGAACACAGTAATTCATGACACATTTGACAGGAACACAGTAATTCATGACACATTTGACAGGGACATAGTAATTCATGACACATTTGACAGGAACAGTAATTCATGACACATTTGACAGGAACACAGTAATTCATGACACATTTGACAGGAACACATTAATTCATGACACATTTGACAGGGACAGGGTAATTCATGACACATTTGACAGGAACACAGTAATTCATGACACATTTGACAGGAACACAGTAATTCATGACACATTTGACAGGGACAGGGTAATTCATGACACATTTGACAGGAACACAGTAATTCATGACACATTTGACAGGGACACAGTAATTCATGACACATTTGACAGGAACACAGTAATTCATGACACATTTGACAGGGACATAGTAATTCATGACACATTTGACAGGAACACAGTAAATCATGACACATTTGACAGGGACAGGGTAATTCATGACACATTTGACAGGAACACAGTAATTCATGACACATTTGACAGGAACACAGTAATTCATGACACATTTGACAGGAACACAGTAATTCATGACACATTTGACAGGAACACAGTAATTCAATGACAGATTTGACAGGGACACAGTAATTCATGACATATTTGACAGGAACATAGTAATTCATGACACATTTGACAGGAACACAGTAATTCATGACACATTTGACAGGGACAGGGTAATTCATGATACATTTGACAGGAACACAGTAATTCATGACACATTTGACAGGAACACAGTAATTCAATGACAGATTTGACAGGGACACAGTAAATCATGACACATTTGACAGGAACACAGTAATTCATGACATATTTGACAGGGACAGGGTAATTCAATGACACATTTGACAGGGACATGGTAATTCATGACACATTTGACATGTATACAGGAATCAGTCAAAGGACTCAGTAGAAAGAAGTTTTTGATTATGTCAAATAACCTTTTAAAGGGGCATAACTCTAACACAAATGTCTGATGATAGGAAAATGAATGAAGATCAATTTATAATTACACTCAAGTTTTGGTCTATTAGCAACAGCTCTCCAGCTCACAGTGAAATTATTAGTTCTGCACAACATTAGATAATATGAATTTTAAATTTATTTAATGTATTTGTTTGTGACACAAAAAATATTCAGATTTTGTCTGAGGGATGAAATCACCTGGTGAACTCGATCTGTTGTTTGTTTTTTGCAGCTTATCATGAAGTGTCTGTCTATCCAAAGAAGGAACTGCCATTTTTCATCCTATTCACAGCTGGTCTCTGTTCTTTTACTGCTCTGCTGGCCCTTCTAACACATCAATACCCAGAGCCCATGGGTGTCATTGCCAAAACAGTGAGTAGTCATCGCAAACCATGTCTGTCAGCTGTATAATCGTTGTTATGACACTGAACCATATGTCACCGGGGTAATGAGTGTCCTTCATGTCAAATTAATTTCTCTCATTAAAAATAATGGTTTTTATTTCTTGTCTTCCTGGGGTTTTTTTGTCGGAATATTCAGAATTAATATCATATGTGAAGAAATCCCAAAAGTAACATTGAATTTACACTTCATGTTAGGGTGGTCATAGGTCAAGGTCAAAGAGTCAGAGATCACTTGAAGCATCAGAACAGGGTCATTCATGTCTTGCAGACATTTTTCAATGTCTAGAACTTTGTATTAAAAGGAACAGACACAGTTAATTTCATTTTGTTTTATACATAATATTCTAATATGTAAAAAAAAAAAGTGGTATCTTATCATACTTTCTGTTTTAGGTGCTGAACTGGCTGTATATGCCCATCAGTTATATACTAGAGAAGCTGGAGGCCATTTTACCTTCCAACTTACTACATCAGCTGTCTCGGATTTGACTAGGCCACCTGGCCACCAGTTGGCAAGGTCACACTGTCTAGTAAACATGACCAGTGTGTCTGAAGCTGACCATGAACAATAGACTTTGATAAACAAAACATGTACTTTAAGACAAGAACTTTCTAGTTTATGGTTGATGAAGAATATGGTTGATTATGGAAAATCTCAATTTAAGTGATGCAGATGTGTTATATGTATACATGCTGTGAAGTGTCAGAAACCAAGGCATCATTTACACCACTCATAGACTACTGTTGTTGGCTATATGTTACAGTTTTAGCATATTGTCACAGCCCTTGAAACTAGCTCTTACTACCAATCCTAGCTCTCTGATTGGTGGAAATATTCCACAGATTATCAGTGACAACAAACACCTGAGTGCAGTTGTATGCTATATACAGTGTTATACATACTCTTACTGGGAGACAAGTATTTATACTAAAACATAACAGACACACTTCATGAACATATTCAGATTGAGATTTGCATCGAGTATGAACTAGCATTGCTCTGGTTAATTCATGAACAGATAGATATCAGCTACCAGCAATAACAACACTGTAAAACTTAACTGTTTATTTACAAACTTCAATAGGTTACATTATCAACACCATTGAAACAGTGACACCTTTCCAGAAACATTAAGGATTTAGGGAAGGGGAGTAACTCTGCTGGGTCTTTTCTTATCGAAATATAATACTGATTGCTTGAAACTTACTGGTTCAGAAAGTTATATCATCAGCTGTCAAGAAACTTGTGTGAAAGAGATGAAACAAATGTAGATGTAAATCTATCCATCAAAGTCAGTCATGTCTCTTCCTCAGACTTCTATTTCACCAAAAAGAATAGGAATTTTTGCATTTTAAAATTTGACATCAAAAATTGAAACCTAATGTGATAAACAAACCATTGAACTTACAAAAAAATTTTCTGTAAACACGATAGATCTGATGATCAAAAGAGAAATGTGTCACTGTACGAACCTCATTGGACTGGATATTATTTTACTCTGTTGACAGCTGTTTAATTTCAGGGTACGAGTTTTTGTTTTCTGTGTTAGATAGAAATGTGGTCTCTATTATTGAACTATTTATCCACAGGGTACTCAAATGTGTTCATTACATATATATAACAGGTCAGTATTAAGTCAATTTAGTGCAAGTGTTTTCTGTGGTGTAAGTATCATTCTGTTCTGTGTTTACTATGACACAGCAAAGGTACAATCCATCCCAGTGACAGGTGTCCTACTTCAAGTGTAATAGTTTCAGAATCTCTAACAAAGTCAGTGATTTATGCTTTAAGTGCTTCATTACATGCCATCAACATTGTTTTTATCTCCATTGGTTTTTTCCCCATCCTTGTTGACAAATATAATCAGGATGGAATTCCATTTTCAACCTGTTTATGTTTATTATGTGTTACCTCCCTTTGTTTCATACCATGATATCCACTGTTTATGTTACAGTGTACTTTTGTTCCACAGGGACTGAAAATAAGTATGTTTTTTTATCTGAACCACTTGGTGGCAACGTCTTGCTTTTGTACATTTGGGAACAATATTCCAGTTGTGGTACCATGCTTTCCATACCCTTGGTTCCTATTAGAAAACACCTGGTACTGTATTAAAGCTAAAGTGATATTTCTGTAAAGGATGGAGAGAGTTGTCTACTAGTGTGTTGACTGTACAAGAGTTACTTCCCTTGGCCTTAGGTTTGCCAGTGTATGTGTTATGATCTATAAAAAGCTGTACTCCAACCTACCACTAGTGTTAGATGTAACAGGTGTAGGCTATCCAGCTATTGATCTGTATCAGCTTTCTCCCACAATAACCTGTCATCATTTCATCACATACTCACAACATGGGGATGGGGGATCCAATCATATTTTACACCCTTCCTTCAGCTAAGAGATAAATTACAGGAGATCGCCACACACAATGATTTGTGTAGGACCTATCAGGGGTTGATCCTTGAAATGTCTGACCTTGTAATCTTACAATGAAGGTATCACCTCTCCTGGGTGAAGGTAATTAAACAGTAGTGCATTACTCCCCAGGGGGAAATAACTCTATGCCAAATACCACACCTGGTCCCTGAGGGTTTAATGAGAGAGTTGAGATGGCTATAGTAGGTATTTGTCTGCGAGACTATGGGGCTCATGCCAAATTCTTTTTGCCGACACAAGCAGTTTACGAAAATGTACAATTCAATTTCTGTGAACCCTGAAGTACAAAATTTTGAAAATGTATATTTTGGAGGTCCTGACCTCATCAAATGAAGCACTGTCACTCAACAGACCACCTGGCTTTAATGTGAGATAATGGTCAGTTTTGTAAGTTTCAAACATATTGATTGTCATAATTAGAGGATTTATGATTTAGTCATGAATTGTCAAAATAAGTATTAATTTTATTTTTATGTTTATGTTGGAAAGATGTATACCAGAATCATTGATTAAGATTTCTTTAGGATAAGTCGGGTGAATAATTTGATCTGTTTACCTTAATTAGTGTCACTTTACCTGTGTAGATCTTTACCTGTAAATTTAACTGGCCAAGGCATTTCACCTTTAGGCAGATTAGTGGCGAGACAGGAATTTGTTTTTGTTTATGTCCTGGTTGATTGGCATGTGGGGAGTGTTTTATTTGTCATAAGATCAGGGATTAGGTTTGAAACTAACGTGGTAATTGAAATTCTCAGGAACCCACCAGATAGGTAAACAGGTTACCTAGCTCTCATCTCACGGATGGAGGATTTTTTCAATATTTTGTATATTCGTTATTGAATGATGCACAACTTCACTTGATTAAAGAGCCTATAAAGCAGCATTGAATAACCACACAGTATTGAATAAATTGCTACGGGTATTTATATATTTAGTAGAGTTTCATTGTCCAACAAATATCAACAGTGAATGTTTTTTAATTTCATAATGATGCAACTAAGCTGTTATGATCATTTAGGTTTCTGCAAGGAAAAGCCACATTGTTTCTAGGAGTACAATCCATTGTGGTTGCTGAGGACATAATCTGCCTTGGTTTCTGAGGAGATAATCTGCCTTGGTTTCTGAGGAGATAATCTTCCTTGGTTTCTGAGGAGATAATCTGCCTTGGTTTCTGAGGAGATAATCTTCCTTGGTTTCTGAGGTAACTTGCCTTGGTTTCTGAGGAGGTAATCTGCCTTGGTTTCTGAGGAGGTAATCTGCCTTGGTTTCTGAGGAGGTAATCTGCCTTGGTTTCTGTGGAGTTAATCCGCCTCGGTTTCTGAGGAGTTAATCTGCCTCGGTTTCTGAGGAGGTAATCTGCCTCGGTTTCTGAGGAGGTAATCTGCCTTGGTTTCTGAGGAGGTAATCTGCCTTGGTTTCTGAGGAGTTATTCTGCCTCGGTTTCTGAGGAGGTAATCTGCCTTGGTTTCTGTGGAGTTATTCTGCCTTCGTTTCTGTGGAGTTATTCTGCCTTGGTTTCTGTGGAGTTGATCTGCCTTGGTTTCTGAGGAGTTATTCTGCCTTGGTTTCTGAGGAGGTAATCTGCCTTGGTTTCTGATGAGTTATTTTGCCTTGGTTTCTGAGGAGGTAATCTGCCTTGGTTTCTGTGGAGTTGATCTGCCTTGTTTTCTGAGGAGTTATTCTGCCTTGGTTTCTGAGGAGTTATTCTGCCTTGGTTTCTGTGGAGTTAATATGCCTTGGTTTCTGTGGAGTTATTCTGCCTTGGTTTCTGAGGAGTTATTTTGCCTTGGTTTCTGAGGAGGTAATCTGCCTTGGTTTCTGTGGAGTTGATCCACCTTGGTTTCTGAGGAGTTATTCTGCCTTGGTTTCTGAGGAGGTAATCTGCCTTGGTTTCTGTGGAGTTGATCCACCTTGGTTTCTGAGGAGTTATTCTGCCTTGGTTTCTGAGGAGGTAATCTGCCTTGGTTTCTGTGGAGTTAATCCGCCTTGGTTTCTGAGGAGTTAATCCTCCTTGGTTTCTGAGGAGTTAATCTGCCTTGGTTTCTGAGTAGTTATTCTGCCTTGGTTTCTGAGGACTGACACAGCTGCATGATAAAAAAACCATGACATGATATGAGATGTTTGTCTCTGTGTGTTGTTTTTCTGCAACACTGAAGAATTTAGCACAAATGTGCTTCAGTAAAATATCGTACTAAATATGAACATTGACTTATTTCTTGTTTTCATTGCAAAAAATAATTCAACCAGAAAATAGAAATTACACTTTGCATGTCAGCAAAACTTGTCAACATGAAATCAAATTTGTTTGCACCTAGGTACATCATGAATACATCAAGGATTGAAATTACATCCAGCTTTAGAGAGTAATGTCTCCTTCAGATACTGAGTTTTATGGGAGTTCTTTTAAATAGTGACCACCTTCTTGGAACAGAAATTGAATATAAGGCAGAATGAGGAAGGTAACATAGAGATTAATAAGGAAAGTAACAGAGATTAAGAGGGAAAGTAACAGAGATTATTGAGGAAAGTAACAGAAATTAATGAGGAAAGTAACAGAGATTAACAAGGATATTAACAGAGATTAAGAAGGAAAGTAACAGAGATTAACAAGGATATTAACAGAGATAAGGAAGGAAAGTAACAAAGATTAACAAGGATATTAACAGATTGGCAAGGAAAGTAACAGAGATTAACAAGGATATTAACAGATTGGCAAGGAAAGTAACAGAGATTAACAAGGATATTAACAGATTGGCAAGGAAAGTAACAGAGATTAACAAGGATATTAACAGATTGGCAAGGAAAGTAACAGAGATTAAAAAGGATATTAACAGATTGGCAAGGAAAGTAACAGAGATTAACAAGGATATTAACAGATTGGCAAGGAAAGTAACAGAGATTAACAAGGATATTAACAGATTGGCAAGGAAAGTAACAGAGATTAAAAAGGATATTAACAGATTGGCAAGGAAAGTAACAGAGATTAACAAGGATATTAACAGAGATTAAGAAGGAAAGTAACAGAGATTAACAAGGATATTAACAGATTGGCAAGGAAAGTAACAGAGATTAACAAGGATATTAACAGAAATAAGGAAGGAAAGTAACAGAGATTAAAAAGGATATTAACAGATTGGCAAGGAAAGTAACAGAGATTAACAAGGATATTAACAGAGATTAAGAAGGAAAGTAACAGAGATTAACAAGGATATTAACAGAGATTAAGAAGGAAAGTAACAGAGATGAACTAGGAAAGTAACAGAGATTAGCAAGGAAAGTAACAAAGATGAACAAGGAAAGTAACAGATTAAAAAGGGTAGTAACGGAGATTAAAGAGGTCAGTGACAGAGATTAACGAGGAAAGTTACAGATATTAAAGAGACAGAGATTAACGAGGAAAGTTACAGATATTAAAGAGACAGAGATTAACGAGGAAAGTTACAGATATTAAAGAGACAGAGATTAACGAGGAAAGTTACAGATATTAAAGAGACAGAGATTAACGAGGAAAGTTACAGATATTAAAGAGACAGAGATTAACGAGGAAAGATTAAAGTAAAGTGTTGATTAGTTTCAATTGATTTTGTAAGGAAGTAAACCTTTAGTTATTTTACAAGGCAGATCGTGGAAGTTGTGTAACCTGTTAGAACAAGTCAGGTGTCGATAGATATCACTAACAGTCACGTTCATAGAAGACTGTAGAATTGATCTGCAGGGAAACGAGTAGTAAATGGTCCACGAGCGTTTCCAGTGTGAACCCTGGTTTATACGTATATTTTTAAACCTTGTGTAAGCAGCAATGCTATACCAAGGTTGGTGGGGTGGCGCATTGGTAACGCACTCACCGTTCACCTGTCCGTGGTTCGATTCCTTAAACGGACGTGAAAAGGTCAAGGTTCACTTGCCTGACTGCATTATTATTAAAACAATGAACTTAGTTTCACTTTTTTTCAGTGAACATGAAATGTGTTATATAATACAAATAAATATTGTTTGGTCTAAGAAGGAAAAGAATTGCTCCAATTTACGTCCCTGTTTATGTGAAGTTGTGTGCAATCTAGTGCTTTCATGGGTGAGGATGGTCCCTTACTTTAAATTATTTGAACAATACAAAAGCCAGGTCTGGTTATTGTTTCTTGAACATCAAACGTGCCGCCCTTTGTGCCAACTCACGTAGTCCACCGAGCAGACGTTCTACGTCAACTTCCGGTAAAATAACATTGTTAATTTTTCAATAGACACCGCGAAACAATCCAATATCAAACATGGTATAGCTGTACTTTATATGTCACTCAGCTGGTGTTCGATATATCAGATGGGTAAATTCATTCACTTTTAAGAAATACGGAAACGAATCTCTTACAAGCTGAGCTAGCTCTTGGTTTGATTCAAGTTGTACATGCTTTCTCTGTCATAGCGGTATCCGATGTACTGTTCGACAGCCGCTGTGAAATATAATATTTATGAAAAATCGTTGCTGCTGTTTTTTCTGTGTGTGAGCGAATTAAGTGAGCCATACGCGATCTGTCTTGTGTTAACGAGGTAAGTAATGCTCTGATATGGAAATAGGTATAAAGTCTTTGATTCGTCATCTTTTAAAAGGAAACCAGTGTAACTCCATTGAGTACAAATTGAATTGGACTCTATCACAAAGGTAGACATGTTTTGATGGTGGTGATGAAATTTGTCTAGAAGTGAAATCTGAATCGTTACCTGTGATCCGGATACATGTATGGGATGTTACGTCACATCCGGGTCAACACAAGCGTTCTGTTTGTGATTGTCGAGGTCATCCAAGGACTGAAAGAACTTTGGTAGGTAAATATGTTGAACTCCATGAAATACTTTTTTCATAAATTTGTACCTAGAGGTAAAACAATATTGGGTAGTGACAGTATTTCCGTCCGTCCATCATCCTTGTTCAGATGCCAGGGATCCTGCCCGTTATTATTTATATTTCGTATTATTATTATGAGTCCATCGATCTGCCTTTCTTTTGGGTGAAAAAATATAACTTTTTACTTACAGAATTGAGAAACCATTCCGGCAGTGCCTCAAAAATTGATTTATTTCAAGTAAATGTCCTTGAACATGTGGCTTTCCATCACAGACGCCTATCATTTCCTCTACATATTAGCTTGAACAACGAATTAAGCTTTATCGTTAACTGAATGAACACATGCCTCTCCACCTGTGTCTCCTTCTTTTTGGAGATACTTCATTATCAGAACACAGAAAAAGATGTTTTACATACATGTAGTTGACAATATCGTGGAAAAAATGAAACCTTTATAGAGTTTTCGAGTAAGGCACAATCCTTAAGTTTGAATTTGAATGAGTTGTTTATATATTTTGTAACACTGAGTTTTAAATACTGATTACTAACCCAAAGAAGAAGACTCAATGGACGAAAAGTATGTCATGTGAAGAGCCTGAGTTAAATAAATGAAGTTTTAACCCGTGTAAAGATTTCGTTTAGGCAGTACCAAGTAGTGAGTTGCGTGTAGCAGCTGGTTCCCTTCTCTTCCTGCAGCCATTTCGTGGTCCAGATGTGTTTCCTCATTTCGCTCCACAAACAAACCATTGTCTGAGCCGTCTAAAGGGTGTTGACGCTGAGAAGTTCAGAAACACTGGACATGAAGGGGACGATTTCAAGTACAAACTCCTTAGATCTGCTAGTATTATAGCCGCCGAGTGCCAAGTTCGTGTTCCCCTCCTCTTCAAATACATGAGCCCGGGGGCGTGGGGACAAGTGGTTACACTCGGGCATCCTATTATACCGATAACATCACGAGGTTCCAGCCTTTTTGGAGAGTCGATCTTCTTTAATAGTAATGAAACTTGAAATTGGCAAATAACAACACAACGGCTCCGATTCCGTGTAACTGTACAAGGTTTACTTCAAGTGGGGTTAGCTGGAGTCGTGATTGGATGGAAGAGATTTAAGTCATATTTACGCGCGGATTTAAGAGGTATTTTTTTTAGTTTTGTTTTTTTCCCACATCAAACGTGCGTCTTCAATGATAAGTTATATTTGACGCACGCGCTTGTAAATTTCCCATTTCTAAATGGTGACATACCTGGTGATGTTTACATGTCACAGTGGACTCGTAATCATTGAATTATTACAACTACTGTTCACTACGTGACTTCATAATTTTATAAGCCCATTTTTTATGCGTGTATTACATATTGTTTCTTTGACTCGTGCCTTCTATAATGTTCCCAAATGCCATTGACACGTGTCTTTTAAAATGCCCAAAACGTCATTGACACATGTCTTCTATAATGTTCCCAAATACCATTGACACGTGTCTTCTATAATATTCCCAAATGCCATTGACACGTGTCTTCTATAATGTCCCCAAACGCCATTAACACGTGTCTTCTAAAATGCCCCAAACTCCATTGACACGTGACTTCTAAAATGCCCAAAAGCCATTGACACATGTCTTCTGAAATATCCCCAAACGCCATTGACACGTGTCTTCTAAAATGTCCGAAAACACATTTGACATGTGCCGTCTATAAGGATCAAAGTTAAAGCTGACACGTATCTTCTATTATGCTTGAAGCACCTGTGACACGTGCCGTCTATAATACTCAGTCACCACTGGCACGTGTCTTTTTTATGTTCAGAACACCTTTGACACGTGCAATGCTTATTGACATCTTTTTTCATTTGCTGTCTATAACGTTCAAGGTTATCATTTGCATTTGTATTAATGTTTGTCATGTTTAAAATCCCCTTTGACACGTGTCTTTTATAATGCTCAGTCACGTTTTACACATGTCTTCTAGAATATTATTCATTTTTCTATATAACATAGATGTGACTCAATTAGCATACTTTGTTTAATGTGTATTCGTTCTTCCGATATAAACCGACACCGTTCCACACCAATGTATCAAAGCTCCCTGTTCCATCCGTCCTCCGTAGCTACTCAATCACTGAACCCAACTACATCCATCTTGATCAACTGTGTTGATGTTTTTTGATGCTAGTCAGGACTGACATTAATTGCGGAAGGGGTCAAGGTAGTTGTCAAATTAGTTTTAAAAACACTGACGTACATTTGGTAAGCACTATCCTTTTTATATTATTGTCCAAGTCTCGAAATAAAATTTCATAAATAATATTGTATAAAAGTATCTGGTGTTAAAGCGTTCACTGACAGGAAATCCTACTGAATCCCGTTAGT